AACGGTGACATATCTACACGGTTTTTTAAATCGGATAAAAATTGTGACCTCTATGGGGTCCACAAGCTAAAAATGCGAATTTTCGTACAATCAGGGTCCATAATTCAGGAAGTTATGGTCCGATATGCGCGAATATCGAAAGGAACCGAGATCTGTGGGTTATAAACATACATTTCAAGTTTAAACCAAATCGGATAAAAATTGTGACCTCAACAGTGCTCACAAACTAAACACGTGATTTTTCGTACAATCAGGGGCCATAATCCACGAAGTTACATTCCGATACATGCCCCTATCGTAAGGAACCGAGATCTTAGGGTGATATACCTATATTTCAAGTTTCATTGAAATCGGTTAAAAATTGTGACCTGTAGAGTGTTCACAAACAATTGAGGACGGACGGACAGGGGCGACGACAATATACGTCCACATGAAAATGTGGGCGTATAAAAAAATTCTCTCTCTACATGGAATTGAAATTAATTAGACCTGCCATAGAAATATACTCTCCAGTAATTCATAACACTGTAACTGGAATTTCGTATTAATACCCGTATTTTGACATTTTAAACACTCCACCCATCCCTTCTATAAAGAGAGTTGAGTACAGCCTAATTAACTTTGTTCCATTTATAAAAAACAATTATACACATGGTGCCTAACAAAAACATTTTTTAGTAAGGACATACATAATTTTCGATTAAGCCCCGTATCTTGAATTTAGTTTTTATTTTGCAAAATTCAAATATATTTCATATTTAGCCAGTTGTGCCGCTATTTTTTCATATGTTCCAAGGTGTGTCGTTGGCAAAAAAAGATTGAGAACCACTGGTCTAGAACTTTCTTTGACTTCACGTTGTGGGATCACTTATTTCAATCATCAATTAACTGTATGTCCATACTAAAAGATGTATAGTCATTTCTCTCTTTAAGTATATTATTTATTTATTGGGCGCAATGCTTATATACTATTCAAAAAAAGTAGGGGATATTTGATTTTGGGGGCATAATACTAAAATATGCAAATGACTACGAAAAAAGTCACTATAGAACCTAACAGAAGAAACATTTCCAGTTACATGTGACGCCCAAACGCACCAATAGCTACCGCATGGAATGCAGGTGATGCTTGGGATCATCATGGGGGTCCAACCCAAGATTTGCACGACTCTGACTTTGAATGTTACAGTCATTGTGGCATTGAATTCCAGGGTGGAAACATCAGTTTAATTGTTTTAGTGACCAGAAAACAAATTTTGATATGCGTCGGCTTACCCAAAATGAAAGGTTACGTGCCCTTGGCATGCTACAGATCGGCACAACACAGGCGGTTGTGGCGCGGACGATGAATGTTTCTCAGTCTGTCATAAGCAGGCTATGGTCCAGATACCGTGATACACAATCTGTACAGGACAGACCACGCTCAGGTCGACCAAGGGCGACAACTCAAGCCCAGGATCGATTTATCCGTACCTTGGCCTTGAGAAATCGTGTCATCACAGCAAATCAGATCAGCGCTCGTCTTCAAACAGACACTGGTGTGAGAGTGAGTGGCCAGACGATTCGGAATCGACTGCATAGGGGTCACCTTCGCGCCCGACGTCCTCGCGTGATCCCTTGTTTGAGAGATCATCACATTCAGGCAAGACGTCGTTGGTGTAGGGATCGTCAACACTGGGATAATCGACGCTGGAGCAATGTGATGTTTTCAGATGAGTCATGGTTCACTGTTGATTTTTTGGACAGACGTAGGAGGGTGTGGCGTCGTCGAAACGAGCTCTTCCAAGACGTTAACGTCATCAGACATGATCGATTTGGGGGTGGTTCTGTTATGGTGTGGGGAGGCATCACTGTTGCTGGAAGAACGGCTTTACATGTTGTTGCAGGGCGTGTTACAGGCCAGTACTACCGGGACAACATCTTGGCAGTCCATGTTGTGCCGTTCGCACGACGTCATGGCCGCCGTTTCATCTTCCAGGATGACAACGCAAGATGTCACAGGGCCAGAATCGTTACAGGTTACCTCCAACAACAGAACATCACCACATTACCTTGGCCAGCACTGAGTCCCGACCTCTCCCCCATCGAGCATGTCTGGGACATGCTTGGACAGAGGTTACGTCAACGTCAACAACGTCCTGCCAATGTCCAAGAACTTGCTGCTGCGTTGCAACAGGAATGGGACAATCTGGACCAAAATGACCTTAGACGTCTCATTAGGAGTATGCCACGTCGGATCAATGCTTGTTTGGCAAACAGAGGAGGATTTACCCGTTACTGACTTGGTTGTGATGCTGTGGTAACTTTGCTGTTTGACCCCGGGTATCATTTTACCCTTATAATGGTCAGTCTGTGCCTTACTTAGTCTAACGATCATTTGGAATAAATCGATGAATGTGAACTTCATTTCATTTTGTCATTTGTTTCTTCGTCAGTTTCATTAGGTGACTTTAATAACACTTAAAAATCAAATATCCCCTACTTTTTTTGAATAGTATATATTGTTTTTTAACGGATAATTAGGCTGTACTCAACTCTGTTTATAGAAGGGTTGGTGGAGTGCTTAAAATGTCAAAATAGGGTATTAATACGAAATTCCAGTTATCGTGTTATAAATTACTGTTGTTTCTATGGCCCTTTGTATGTATCAATTATTTCCAGCACATTCATGATTACGCAAGGTCGTCCAGATAATTCCTTATAGGATGCCAGCTTGATTTCCTGTTATCGCGCGATGAATATCCTTATAGTGTGCTGGCTGATAGTGTGCCAGGTTTCCGTATATGTTAATAAATCACGTGATATCCTACATTTGCATATAAAAATTGATGGTGCGCGAAAGATGCTATGCAGAAATCGTGAAGGACAAATCAGATGTGGCAGAGCGCAAATGTAAAATATAATGAGAGAAATGTAAAATGTAGACACGTCAAAAAACAGCATTTTCCAGCAAAACATTTGTCATTTGACACTTAACATTTGAAGTTTGGCATTTATCTCTTGCCTTAGAGGTATTTTGACTTTATCATTACCGGTATTACATTTTACATTGTACTTTTTACATAATATCCATGGAAACGACATTGTCGCAGACTACGCAGAGCATTTAATATTGGCAGCGATACCCTTCCATACTTGTGTTCCTCATTCGTCTCACTAGGAAGCTCACAAACGTTTGCTTAAAAAGCAGGGGTCGTACCAAAGAAGTTGCTGTCCGATTCGCACGAAAATCGAACTCATCTAAGATATTTTGATATTTAACACATATTTTAAGTTCCGCCTAATTAATAAACTTAAATAAAATGGGGTTTACCGTCCAACAGTTTTGCTCCGACTGGGTTAAAGAAGACGGCATTTTTCCCGGACATCGGAGCTACGGTCTACTCTTAGGGCTATATCGAATTCCAACTCAGGCAACAGTCATTGTCAAGTCTTTTACGTGCACAACATTTTGTACACGTGACCTTACCGGGGCTCCAATTAAGTTTATAAATGTAGCCGATGCAAGTAAATTAAAATTAAAAAGAAAGTGACTAGAATCTATTTTACATTGAAAAATTTCAAATAGAAACCAAATAACAACAAGAAATATTATTCTTACCTTCTCTCTGTTTTACGCTCAAACTGAGAAATAAACAGTAATGACGTCATGGCGATTGTTCAAGAGACTAATAAAGCGGACGTGATTGGAAGCATACTTTACCATAGCAACTTGGCGCTATATGAAAAATATACTTTTTTAAAATAAAAGTAGGACTATGTCTTTAAAAGCTTTCTAGATCTTTTGCAATGTTGGGAGAGCGTGGGGTGGGGTTAGAAATGGTTCCACTACTGGTGTCTTCCGTCTTGCTTCAGCCACTACTGATGTCTTCCGTTTTGCTCAAGCCACAGTAGTGGATCGTCCTAAGGCCTTCCTTTGAGCAAGTTTTGCAGTTATTTGACTACAAAAAAGTCACTGACCTATAACTTTCCAATTATACAGACCCCAAACTGTACTATAGCTTAACATATATTAAACCAATTCCCATTGAAATAAAGGTAAAACCTTATCGTATAATTGTATGATTTGATTAAACCCAACTGCTATATAATTATATATGCACAATTTCTCTTCATTTTAAAACGGCTGCCGAACCAGAATTATGTGATTTCATGTCACTCGAAAATACAGAAAAACTGTTCGGTAAGATAGAATTAAGATTTCAGTGTTACACTCTTCACTATTTGTAACATATATTTCCAAGCAAACTCTGGTGATATGTGTTGAAAATGTTCAACCGAACCTAATTTTACTCGCGCAAAGCTTTGAATAGCGTATACATTCTAGCCTCGAAAAAGACAGGAGGTGGGTACAATATTGTAGCTAGGGGTGGGTGTCTAAATAGGGCCTATTAAGTCGGAGCACGAAGAACTTTTAGTCAATATAGTCCTCCTACTTACACTATTCGTTCATGCACTTCATAAATTAAAGACTGGGTGAAGGGGTTGTAGCCTATAGGAGCGGCTTCTGAAATTTTCGAAGGAAGACGACGTGGCCCAGAGTCTTATGATGGAGCTATCATTATTTTCTATCTGACTTGCTAAACTTTAGAAGGGGTTGGTGACCGAATGGTTTAATGCGTGCATATAAAAAATCTTCCATTGAGTGTTGGCCGAAAACATTTCTCAGAATTTTCCGACGTGGTTTCTGGGTAGTGCTGGATGTGGAGTCTGACAAGGACATGTCTCTAGTCCTTCAGAAGGGACGACGAGTCGAGGTCACGTGTAAACATTGGCGTGCACGTAAAAGGTAAAATAGCCCTAGACAGTTGGAATTCGAGGTAGGTAGTATTAGTGCCACTGTCTGGGACAAATTCGTATCATGTAGCGCACACTGCATCGTAAGTCCGTATTTAGTTCCACGGAACTTACGGTCGTTCGAACCTAATGAACGAACCAGAAACAGAGCTTTGAAAGACTTACTGATCGAGTTGGCTTTTTCTTATAGAGTTATCCCCCTTTTCAGCATGGCCGAGTAAAACGTGTTTTTATTTACATTTATCATCGATCATATTATTAACTTGACCAACGTTTTAGATGAATTAAAATGAAGATCAAATGCTTGAGTAGAAATCCAGATGATTTTTTGAGAGAAACGAAAAGAGATATTCACAAAGGTAGCTCAAACTTTAGATTTCACTTCTTTATTGTATAATTTAATTTTAATCGCAAAAATCAAATATTTCAAATACTGATGATAGTGATTATACTCAAATAGGCCTACAAATGCCTAATAAATAATTACATATGCATCACTAACAGTAATATTTTAAAATTTTAAGATTCCAAAAGAAAAACAAAGACAAAGTCTTGATTCCTACAAAGTGCTGGTCAATATTCCACCCTCATCTCTCATTCTCTGTTTCATGGAATTCCGAATAATATAAACTAGGTCTCAAATCTGTCTACCTAGTGTCATGCAGCATGTTAAATCATTAATTTAGTACATCTTTATTTCTAGCACGAACATTTAATTAATCCCAACTTGTATAAAATACATAATTCAGGATGAACCAAATATTATATTAGGATGAATCAAATATGGCACTGGAATTAAATCCACTGCTTTTGTTTTCAAATAAACCTTTGACAAAGGTACCGTAGCAGAACACACTTGCAGCTCTGCCCCTGGTGGCTTGCTTGATGATCTAAAAGTCAAAATGTTTCAATTGCAGCATTTGTAAGTTACAAATTGTAGCCAAACTGACACATCAACACAGTTATATGGAATACAAGTTAAACTTGGTGTAAACATATGTCATATTCTAATGACTGAAGTATTGTATTAAACCTCATTCCATGTGAATGTGCATTTACCTTTTTCATTGTATCTTGTATTTTAGTTCCAAGAAATTATGATCCTAAACTTCATCCATTTGAAGCACCAAGGGAATATGTTAGAGCTTTGAATGCAGCCAAGTTAGAGAGAGTATTCGCAAAGCCATTTCTTGGCTCACTAGATGGTCACAGAGATAGTGTCAGCGTCATCAGAAAACATCCAACTAGTCTTTCATTATTATTATCTGGTGCTTATGATGGCGAGGTGAGATTTTAATATAATTATCTACGACAAGTGGATGGATGACATTGTAATGAGTATTGAATATTTTCCTTCTAGTCAATACTCGATTCTTCGCTTTTACGTGAGAAGGAGTAGGCTTGCCTGTCCAACCTTGTGGGTATGTCTGGGTCCTCCGTTTTCCTCCCACTAGTAAAAACCCCTACATGCAAGCAAATTTTTAAAATGAAGTTGAGTCCTGAAATGACCTAGTTTGTGTCGAGTGGATGTTAAACCTCTAGCCTGAAGGTCACGTGTTTGATCTCTGCATTGGCCAAGAAAGTTCATCAGGATTTTCCGACATGTTTTCATCTTGTCATTGGTGCAGGACAGAGGGCCTGCCAAGGACAGCTGTCTAGTCCCTCAGATGTAACGAAAAACCGAGGTCCTGTGTCCTACATGTAAAAGATCCCTTGGCAGTTGGAATTTGATATAAGACTAGGCCATAGTGCTGCTGCCCGGGCAAAATTTCCCTCATAGCACACTGTATGGCAGATGCCCTTCTTCATTAGCCCAGTGGGAGCAGAACAGTAAGATGTTAAACCCCATTTCATTTCGTTTTGATAATTGGTGTATTAGTATAAAAGTATTAATAATAATTACTGTATGTATTATATTTTTAAAGTGTTATATTAATGATTACTATATTATATTTTTGTAGGTTAGAGTGTGGAATATAACTAAAAGAAACTGTGTTAAAAGTGTACAAGCTCATGACGGTTTAGTTAATGGTGTTTGTGGACATCCAAATGGAGAATATATCTTTTCTGTAAGTCTTATAATAATATACATATATTATATTATAGGGAGCCACCTTGGCTCAGCTAGTTACCCAGTGTAAACCCTGTCTATCTACCTAACCTTGTTGTTTTTCTATAACATAATTATTTCTCTTACAGGTTGGAGCTGATAAACAGATTAAACAATGGAATATAACAGTTGATGGTGATTTACAGGATCAACCTAAAAGTACAATATTAGGACGGGTAAGAGGAATATAGATTTGTTTAGTGTCATGCCTTTTGGAACACAATAAATCTGCTTATTATCGACATAGAATATTGAAGCTTGGTGTAGATGGTTTTTTTTAGGTGAAGTGGTCTTTGGTAACTGGCGGGTTGGTGTAGAAGTGTACAACATGAAACTCCATTTTATTATGGGAATGTGTGGACTTAAAAAAAACTTGGGGAATTTTTGTCGCAGAATACAAGTGACCATTGGAACGGGATTGATTGTATGTTCACAAGAAAAATTAAAGTTCATTTGAATGTAGAAAGAAATCAAAAAACATTATTTTAAAAGTGATTTTTCAAACCGACCTTCATCTGTGGGCTAATAAGGAAAGTTCATCTGGCCTTTCGGATGGGACAGACATCTGAGGGCCACTTGTGTACACATTGGTGTGCTCATAAAAGAATCCTTGACAGTTGTAAATTGAGAAACAGTAGACAGAAAATCTGCTTTCATGTTTATATTCTACCTGACAATTACACATAACCAGAGACAAATAAGTTATTATTGTTTTAGAGAGAGAGAGAAATGGGGTTTAACATACACTCAACAGAAACTAGGTCATTTCGGGACTAACATATGGATCAATTTTATTTCAATAATTTGCTTTAGCAGTGGGAGTAAACCAGAGGACCCAGAGAAATTCCACGAGGTTGAACAGGCGACCCTACTCCTTGTCCCGTACACACCTGGGGAATCGAAACCACGCCAGTTGACTCATGTCAATGACAGACCTTGTGATACAGCACGCACATGCTAACCATTGAGCCATCCGGCTGCCCTATTATTGTTTTAAAAAGACCGAATAAACGGCATATCTTTATGACCAAAAATTCCCCCCCCCCCCCATAAAGTAGCTTAGATTGACATGCTAGCAACAAACTATGGATTTCTTTGAAGTGGAATGTATACAATAAACATACATGTATTAACCCTTAACCGGTCGACATCATTTTGACGTCATGAAGTCAAGTGGTCAGGCTAAATAAAGGCTGACACCAATAAAAAAGTCGAAGGGGATAAGTTGATCTATTATTTGCAAATCATCAGAAATATTGTCTTCAGAATCGGTGTCATCGATATAATCCGAGTCGGAATCATTCATAAGTATTTCAACCACTTCGAGCGTCTTTAACGTTCCCGACATCGTTAAATTACGTTTTTCGTCAAAAATTGTTGAACAAAGACATGTTTTTTATAATGCCCTTGACAAGACAAGTTCCTGTCTGACACGCATGCGTGGCCATATCAATTAATTTCGAAACTAAATACTAGAATGCAGCTTATCAAAAAGGTTCTTGCTGACCGTGACCACTTAGCTGTATGACGTTGTGGTGACTATAGTCGACAATGACCGGTTAAGGGTTAATGAATTACAATATATTAATAACCATATTTTTATAGAGTGTATTTCAAGATATAGATCATCATGGTAAAGATAATTTTTTCGCTACATGTGGTGTTGGTGTTAATATCTGGGATGAAGAAAGAACAGAACCTATCCGATATTTTACATGGGGTGTCGACTCCATACATCATGTTAAATTCAACCCTGTCGAAGTAAGTACTAATTTAGTATACTACTGCAAAATGGTATATAAAAAATGGAGGACCATGGCTATATGACCTCAAAATAAAGCCCTGTTTTTAATTGCTAATGAGAAAAATGAAACAAAAAGATAAATGTAATGTCTAGTCAACACTAACCTGGTCATTTTGGGACTAACATGTAAAGATGGAGATCAAAACTTCAACACTTGACTCAATGACAGATATAAAGACAGGTTACATCAAGACTCGACTACTGTAATTTACTTTTGTACTACCTACCTGGAAATAAAATTAAACGACTTCCAAAACTTCAAATTAAAGCAGCCTGGATCGTAACCAAGACTAGACCAAATGAATGTATGACACCAATTCTGAAATATCTTCATTGGCTTCCAGTCTGTCACTGTATCAGTTTTAAAATAGTATTACGTATTCTGCTCTAAATGACAATTCTTCACGTCAATACCTTAGAGACCTTCTCAACACCAATAACCCTTGCAGAACCCTTCGATCACAATCAGACGACCTCTTAATTAAACATACATTATGCAAGAGCTAAATCTGCCTATTGCAGGTCTTTCTTTAGACCTGAAATGTTATATACTTTTTTAATTAGACATTTATTAACAAAACAAGACCATAATCAACTCTCGATGGCATCGGATACTCAAGATTTTAACTAGATTAGAGTGGTTCGCTATTTGAAAATTTAATTTAAAAATGGGAAAGCGGGGTTAAGTCTCGAATGTACCAGTGCACTGGTTACCACAATGCTCACATCTTCTCAAAACTACAAACAGTGATAATTTGGCCAAGAATGAAGTAATTTGAATGAAATTGTCAATACTTTCATTATCTATTTTTGAGCTATTATAGCAAGAATAGATTTTTCTCAGTTGGTGCTCCGAAGTTATGGAATTCAATATCAAACGAAACCAAAAGTGCAAATTATATTATCTCAAAACCAAACTTTTTAATCAAATATACAACTGATTAAATACGGTTCTAGCTGTGTTTGTGGCCGACTTTTACCATGTGTACTAAATTAATGTTCTCTTTTTTTGTTTATGTCTTTTTTATGGATTAATGTTTTGTGATTGTTGTAATTTTGTATTAGTTGTACTTATGTAAGGGGCCGAGAGCAGCTCGCTAGTTGAATTGTTGGCGCTATATAAATTAATTATTATTATTATAAGATCTAGATCTAAAGCATACACTCCTTCAAATCTCACTAGAAATGTCACAGCATGTCTCTGCGAAAACATCAGATAGGTTTACCATCACTGTCCTAAATAATGTTGAAAACATACTTTAAATGCATGTATGTGGTGTTTCATTTCAGACGAATATATTGGGAGCAGCAGCATCAGATCGAAGTATATTATTATATGACATGCGAGGTTCCACGCCACTCAGAAAAGTTATTTTAAAATTACGTAGCAATGCTATATCATGGAATCCTATGGAGGCTTTTATATTTACTGTTGCTAATGAAGATTATAAGTAAGTCTAAATTTATAATGCATACTATTTATATTGGTATATATATGTTCTTGGCTTCAGCAAACATTTTTTTTCACCTGTAACAACGTTAAGTACAACTACATTCTGCTATGACGAGATCTTATTCTTAAAGGCAACTCAAGATTCTATCAAGGTTGCTGAGATGTAAGGTTAGGGCATGTGATTGTTGGCAAGATTGTGGGTTAGGGTAAGCATTAGGGCTAGGTCCAGGGGTTAGGGTTAGAGTTGAGATTATTGCTAGCTCTGTTTACATCTCGTGACCTTTGACCAAACTTGAAGTTGACCTTATGAAATAGAACTAACCATTCTGCTATGTTTGATGTATGATCTGCCAAACATCTGTAGTGGATCAATCGCTCTTCTACACTAGGCTTATTTCCGGTGTGGTTCCACCCTTGTCAGTTATGCAGGACGGAGGGCCTGACAAGGATAGCTGTCTAGTTGTTCGGATGGGACGGAAAACTGAGGTCCTGTGTACACATTGGTGTGCACGTAATGATCCCTTGACAGTTGGAATTCGATATAAGAATAGGCCTTAGTGCCATTGTCTGGGCAAAATTTCCTTTAGTCATAGCACACTGTATGGCGTATGCCCGTCTTCATTAACCCAGTTCGGAGCAGAACAGTTGGACGTTAAACACGTAATGATCCCTTGACAGTTGGAATTCGATATAAGAATAGGCCTTAGTGCCACTGTCTGGGCAAAATTTCCCTCAGTCATAGCACACTGTATGGCGTATGCCCGTCTTCATTAACCCAGTTCGGAGCAGAAGAGTTGGACGTTAAACCCTATTTCATTTAATTTACACTAGGCTTAATTTAAAAAGAAAAAATACTGTATCACCATAACTGATTAAAACATGGTTCAGTGTTTTGTTTTATGGCTTTAAATGAGTGTAGAAACTTTTCTTTAGGTTGATCGATCATGCACAGAACATGAGGCACATAGAATGTGATCATACTGTGTGTTTATCATACAATGCAGGACTCAAAATTCGCTAACCTGTATCTAAGGCCATTTTTCAAAAAATGGCCTCAGACAGTGAAGCCTCTCTAAGGCCATTTTGTTCAACACCAAGGCCATTTTTTCAATTTAGAAATTATCGAGGGCCATTTTTGCTGGACATTTTAAAAATAAATAGTCTTTCATTTTTCATATTCATTTAATAAAACGTGGACAGGTTAATCATGACAAACTGAAAAAGATGTTTATAAATATATTTAGTCCTTGGCAAACACTGAAATTAAAAGCTTATCTAAGTCTAGATATTTTTTGTCTCAAACTTCTAAATTACTGTATTACATTATGTGTTTAACCTCCTACAATTATTTTTTTTTTTTAAGCACAACTGTTTGCAGATGCCTGTAAATAAAATAGTCTAAAATAACAAAAGTCATCATTATTCAGACTGAGAAGAGAGAATCAAATTATCAAAATTATCTCCATCACTGTCCGCAATTTCACTTTCTATTACTAGCTCTGATTATCAAGCACTGTCTTGAACCGTAGCCTTGTTTATCACAAAAGACTTGACTAACGTCTGCTTGGTCTGCTTATCGTAGTCTTGCATAATAAGACTGTTACGTGTTACAGGCATCTGTGGAGGGGGTAAACTACGAAAAGCAGTGCATAAGAAAAAATTAATCGTGGGAGGTTTTTAGATCAGCCAAGTTTTACGGGAAAATGCATATCATACGTGAACTTTTTCATTTATTTTGGCTTCCGATATAGGTGCCATCGACTGCCATTTAGGGTAATTCTACGGCCAATGGCTCTAGTATTTTTATCGATTTTTTTCCGCAATTTACAAGAGCAATTTTTGGCCCTCGATGTAAAAGCTATCGAAGGCCATTGCTAGGCTTACGACAGCAATGGCCCCGATGGCTCTCGTGAATTTTGAGCCCTGTACAATGTTAATTCCACTCAATTATTAAACATACATTATGCAAGAGCTAAATCTGTCTATTGCAGGTCTTTCTTTAGGCCTGAAATGTTATCTAAATTATTAATTAGACATTAATTAACTTATCCAGACCATAATCAACTCTTGATGTCATCGCTAGCCTGCGATATTTACTGGATTAGGATCTGATTTGCTGCTCAACTTTCATTCATGATTTTATCATGAAATGGATAATCGAGACTATGTTTTTTATCTTACCAATTCCCTGTTCAGGGTGGATCAATTTGACTGAAATTTTCAGCAAATTCCCTTTACATTATCTAGTTTTTAACTATTATTATAGTGAGATCTGCCAGCTCTTTATCTAATTTCCCATAATGTATCTTTAAATATTTTTCTATATTTAATTTGATTTACATATTAAATATTTTCTATGGGAAAAAAAACTGATCAATAGGATTAATTACTTTTGATTAACATTGAATAACGATTAACCAAAATGTCAGGGTTCAGTTGAGATAAATACTCTCTCTCTCTCATATATTGTTATATTTCAATGTTATTTGTTTCTATTTCAGTTGTTATACGTTTGATATGAGGAAATTATCTATACCACTCAATGTACATAGAGATCATGTTGCCGCAGGTACAAATATTTTATTAATTTGAAAAGAAAACATAATCATATGGCTCTATAGCAATAAGGTCTCTGACAAGTGCCAGATAATGACCATGTGTAAAGTCCGATAAAATCTAAACATTCATTTCGATATGCATTCAATTGTTTCATTTTATTATGATACATACATAATATGTATTGCGGTCATATTTGCCAGGGTTGGAGATATGACCGGCTGGCAATATTTTGAAGTGAATATTAATTTGATATTGTGCATAAAAACATTATCTCAATATTGTTAAAGTGTATAAATTAAGTGATTTTGGTGTTTTATGTTGTTAAAACGTACGAATTCAGTGATTTTGTTAAAATGTATGAATTTTATGATTTTGTTAAAACATATGAAATAATTAAATTATAATTATATTATTTTGATATTAAACAGTAATGGATGTAGATTATTCACCAACTGGTAAAGAGTTTGTTACCGCTGGTTACGATCACTGTTTACGTATATTTAAACTAGATCAAGGTCACAGCAGGTAAATCTATATTTTGTTATTGAAATAAAGTTTATTGAAAGCCCAAACAGAATTATAAATCTGCATGGCTTCTTGTTTCTGTGGGGGTGGGTGGTAGATGGCCGAGTTGTTAGCGCATGCGCGTTGTATCACAAGGTCTATCATTGAGTCAACTGGCGTGGTTTCGATTCCCCCTTTGTGACAAGGAGTAGGATCGCCTGTCCAACCTTGTGGGTTTTCTCTGGGTCCTCTGTTTTCCTCCCACTTCTAAAGACCCCTACGTGCAAGCAAATTATTGAAATAAAATTAAACCATATGTTTGTCCCGAAATGATCTAGTTTGTGTCGAGTGGACGTTGAACCTCATTTCTCTCTCTCTCGCTTCTTGTTTTTTAATATTCAAAAATACCTTCTTTGAATGGCATTTAGTAAAAACACTGAAACTTACATCTGGAATAACAATAACTGGTTTATCAACATGCAACATTTCAACTCTCATCGTTATAAAGTAAATAAGGAGCCGCTATGTCTCAGTGAGTAAGGCATTGGCTCACTAACCAGGTGGTGGTCCTAGTTTTCGATCCCAGAGGGAGTCATCGTGGCCCAGTAAGTAAGGCGAAGGCTTGCATTGATTCTGGTGTTGGTCGACAAAATTCCTTAGGACTTCCTGGGTTGGTTCCCCCCTTGTTAGTATTGCATGCCGGAGGTCTGTTTGTAATATAATTCTTGACATTTGAAATATGAAATAAGAGCAGGCCAGACAAAATTTCCCACAAAGCACACTGTATGTCATATGCCGGTCTACATTAGCCTTGATGAAGCAGAAAAGTAGGATGATAAGCCCCATTCCATTTCATTTTGATCAAGCAAATTTTTATCAAACACACACATCAGTGCCACTTGTATTTTTTTGTCTGAAAATCAAAATTTAAAAACTTTATTTTTATGTTACAGGGAAGTCTATCATACAAAGAGAATGCATCGTGTTCATACAGTATGTTGGTCATTAGATGATAAATATATTATGTCGGGTTCAGAAGAAATGAATATCAGATTATGGAAAGCTAGAGCCTGGGAAAAACTTGGAACGGTTAGTTGCTAATAGTTATTATTAAAGATACATTCCCATGAAAGTATTTATCGGTTAATTATTTCCAATAAAAGTTTATCAATTTTTGTAAATATGGAAAGTAGAGATACCCAGTCTTACTAGAAAAATACTAGATTCCCTGAAAAACGCCAATGGGGTGCCACAGGACAAAATTTATGGGCATCCCTAAATGACAGGCTGTCAGTTTAACTGTCTGCCCGAGTGACGTAAAGAGCACTTCTTATGTGTCCATCTAATAACTGATGGGTGTGACAACATTGAAAGAATAAAATTTCCAGTAGCCTGCGATTAAATAACGGAAAAAGAACTTGGTAGAGGATAATCGCTGAATTTACTTAGGCTTTGATATTTATAGTAGATGGAAAGCAGCTACAGACAAATACAACCTGATAATGGATTCTCCTTCAATCAAGTCATGTCATAAATATGAATGATTGAAAATAGATTACTGGGTATCTGTTTGGTTATGTTTTCTCTGTGTCGTTGTCTTCTGGGTTTCTGTTTGTTTATGTTTTGTCCATGTCCTTGTCTTCTGGGTGTCTGTTTATATCTTGTCCGTGTCCTTGTCTTCTGGGTTTCTGTTTGGTTATGTCTTGTCCGTGTCCTTGTCTTCTGGGTTTCTGTTTGTTTATGTTTTGTCCGTGTCCTTGTCTTCTGGGTGTCTGTTTATATCTTGTCCGTGTCCTTGTCTTCTGGGTTTCTGTTTGGTTATGTCTTGTCCGTGTCCTTGTCTTCTGGGTTTCTGTTTGTTTATATCTTGTCTGTGTCCTTGTCTTCTGGGTTTCTGTTTGTTTATATCTTGTCTGTGTCCTTGTCTTCTGGGTTTCTGTTTGTTTATGTGTGGGGCTTTTTAGCCCTTGTTTATGTTTGCTATTTTTGTTTACAGTTAAAATCAAGAGAGAGTACAGCGTTACAGTATAACGATAAATTAAAAACTAAATTTGGAAATCATCCACAAGTAAGACGAATATTGAAACATCGTCATGTTTCTAAAATGATCTTTCACAATACTCGAGAAATTAGAAAAATACGAGAAGCTGCCAAGAAAAGGTAAGTTGAAAAATTAAAAATTTATTGAGTACACATCTTTCTAATCATGCAAGGGGGATTGGATGGCCGAATGGTTAGCATGGGCACGCTGTATCATAAGGTCTGTGATTGAGTCAACTGCATTGGTTTCAATTCTCTGGTTGTACGTGACAAGGAGTAGGGTCGTCTGTCCAACCTCGTGGATTTTTTCCGGGTCCTCCAGTTTCCTCCCACTGCTAAAGACCCCTACACGCAAGTGAAATATTGAAATAAAGTTGAACCATGTGTTAGTCCCAAAATGACCTAGTTTGTGTCGAGTGGAGGTAAAACTCTGTGAAATGGTAACACCCAAAAGTAATCCTTGATGGATTGCTGCCATTTTCAAAACCTATTAAATGGTTGTATCTGGTGTGGCAGCCACTTGTTGAAGCCTGGTTAGAGATGTAGGTCTGTCTGGCAAACTAAAAAGGAAAATTTGGTTGGTTGAGTTATTTTCTGACCAAAAATGCTCTTGATCCCTTGATTGTCACTTTCCGTGGAATTGAGAGAGTTCAATTCTGGAACGCCCAATCAAGTATGTAGTATTTTAATTAAATGATTGACACTGTTTGTATTTTTAGGGAACAGAATCGTATGGAGAATAGTAAAATTGGAACAGTTCAGTATACCTCAGAAAGAGAATCACATGTCATTGGAGAGAAGGAGTAATCATTGGAGAGGAGTAATCATTGTAATATTATTGTACAAATAAAATGTAAATATTTTGTTTTCTGTTTCTCTGATTTGACAATCTTTTTCCTCACTCTCATGTGAGATTCGGGTGAGACAAGAAAAACCTTTAGGAAGACTGGTCATGCCCAGACGAACAAATGAAATGAAATGAAATGGGGTTTAACATCCTACTGTTCTGCTCCTAACCTGGGCTAATGAAGACGGGCATACGCCATACAGTGTGCTATGAGGGAAATTTTGCCCGGGCAGTGGCGCTACGGCCTACTCTTATATCGAATTCCAACTGCCATGGGATCTTTTACGTGCATGCTAATGTGTACACAGGGCCTCGGTTTTCCGTCCCATCCGAACGACTAGACAGCTGTCCTTGTCAGGCCCTCTGTCCTGCATCACTGACAAGGGGAAACCACGCCGAAAAATCTGAATGAACTTTCTCGGCCAATGCAGGGATCGAACACCCGACCTTCAGGCTAGCGAGCCAGCATCTTACCCACTGAGCCACGTGATCCCCCCCCAGACGAACAAGTGAAAGGAGAGTGGGCAAGTGGTCTATAATGCATGCACTGTAGTTAAAGAAGTCCTGGGATGGCCTAGTGGTCTAAAGTATCGCACTTTGAGGTCTAGCTGGCCAGTCTGGCTTCTAGTTGTGGTTTCTATCCCTGGCGTGAGCTTAAGTGACCTGGAGATAAGGGCACTTTCTCAACCTAGTGGAATTATTACTCTGGGTACTCAGAAAAGAAACCTGTGCGTGCGCTAAGATAACAAAAATAAGACACTTTGTTTGCGATATCACCCTTGGAAGAGAATGTTAAACAGTAAAAGAAGAAGAATGACAGTGCCAGGGGGTTTCAATCTTAGATTTGTATCAAAGCCTAGTGGGATTTTCTCCCAAGAATATGAGTTTCCCCTCATTGCCAAAGAGTAGAGTAACCTGTGGGTATTTCTAGGTTTCCTCTCATTGCTAAAGAGTGGGGTGACCTGCCTAACCTATTGGGTTTTCTGTGGTATCCTCACGTTGTTAAAGAGTGGGGTTAGACACCAAATCCATGTGTGGGCAAGTGAAGATGGAAAATGAAAAGGTGAGTTTTTTTACTAACCACATCATTGTATCAGGTCACTGAGTGGTATCTTGTTGTTTTAACTTAGCTCATCCTCCATAACAAAACCCATGTTAAAAAGAATAAACAGATATATCTTGTTAAAAAATAACTTTTATATAAAAATGGATATCTACATACAGTTTATTGTTAATATGATGATGATATAAAAATATAATACAACAAAAGCAGTGACAAAGCTCTATTTGTGGCAAATTCCACAGACATAGGAATGTTTATTTCAATATAAAGTGGCTATTCTGTTGTGAATTGTTTCAAGTAATAAAATACAATACATGCACATTCAATTGGTAAAACTATACTGGACACACAATTCTCTCAATCTATATAATCAAGTATTAGAACATTTAGAATACCAAATAGAGAATTAGAACATTTTGAATACCCGATTGATCATTAAATTTTTTATACAATACACACTCAAGTATATGAACATTTAGAAATACCATATTCAACATTAGGACATTTAGAATACAAGATCAAGCCTTAACATATTTTGAATACACGATCAAGCCTTAATATATTTTGAATACACGATCAAGCCTTAATATATTTTGAATACACCATATAGCATTGAAACTTTTTGAATACACAATTGAGCATTGAAACATTTCGAATACACAATGAGCAATGAAACATTTCAAATACATTTCTAATTCCAATTGACCATTATATGTTTTTAAAGATATTTTCAATTGTAAATAAAACTGTAAGTAAAAATAGGTTAATACAGGTGTAAATAATAGTAAACTACAAGATAAACTACAAAGATATTACAAGAAACAAACCAGTAAATAAGCAATTATTAGCTGATATACACATATATAAAACAAGAAATTAATGCGAGCAAGAAATTTATGCATAAAAATGTGATCTAGATGACAGTTACTAGAATCAATTGTGGAACAAATTTTAGATACATTAAATAATGTCACAGGAGAGGAGGTTGAGCGGCCGAATGGTTAACACATGCAGTCTGTCATTAAGTCAAGTGACATGGTTTCGATTCCCTGCTTGTACGTGACAAGGAATAGGGTAGCCTGTCCAACCTCGTGGCTCTTCTATGGGTCCCCCGGTTCGGTTCACTCCCACTGCTAAAGAACCCTATGCACAGACGAAATATTAAAAAAAAAATGAACCATATGTTAGTCCCAAAATTACCTAATTTGTGCCGTGGATGTTAAACTCTCTCTCTCTCTCTCTCTGTTATCCAGTCTTAATGCTAATATGATCTTTATTGGTCATCTTCATCTTTAGTTTCAGTTAATTTTGAATTTTTCAGAATGCATCAAAATTAAGAAGCGAGATAGAAATGGGGTTTAACATCGAATTGACACAAACTAGGTCATTTCATAACTAACATATGGTTCCATTTTATTTCCTTAGCAGTGGGAGGAAACTGGAGGACCTGGAGAAAATCCATGAGGTTAGTCAGGCAACCCTACTCCTTGTCATGTACAAGCAGACACTTGACTCAACGACAGACCTTGTGGTTTAAATTTATGAAGCATTAGATTTTTGTTTCTATATCGTACTATATGTAGCACTCCTTTGGTTATATAAGGAAGCACTCAAAATTAACAAAGCAAAAACTACACAAAAAATATTTAACAAAAAGTTTGGTTAACTTCAACAAAGGCACATGAATAAGCTATATGTACAAGTACATATAAATGAGAGAAATAAAATAATAAAAGCATATTAATATATTGAAAAAAATCTGGTTAGATGAAACAATTTGGTACTGAGTGTCCTGGTAGGCCTAAGCATACTCTACCTAGTATACAAGATCCATCACCACAGTTGGATTTCAAAGCACTTTTCATCCAGATTATGCTACAAAAAATTTTGAGGTAACATTCCTGGCGCAGTTCCCTTGCCTACCTGAACCAATTTCTTTCATTTATATTTCAAAATATTTTAGAAATCGAGTTAAACTAAAACGACATTAATAAATCCCATAACTGGTAGAGGAATAAAATTCATACTCCTCTTTTGATATTAACACTTGTCGATAGAGTAAAAATCCTTTTAAGTCTTATTACTTGCATTATTGCCATGTGTTGATACTGTATATTTTGTATAAAAAATACATGTATACCATTCTCTATATAATAAAGTTAGATATATATAAATGAAATGAAATGGGGTTTAATGTCTCACTTTCTGCACCAACAGAACTAAGAGAGAAATGGGGTTTAATGTTCACTTGACACAAACTAGGGATTTCGGGACTAACATATGGTTCAATTTTGTTTCAATTATTCGCTTGCACCTAGGGGTCTTTAGCAGTGGGAGGAAATTGGAGAACCCAGAGAAAACCCATGTGGCTGGACAGGCAACCCTACTCCTTGTCATGTACAACCGGGGAATTGAAACCACGCCAGTTGACTCAATGTTCTAAGCATTCGGTCATCCAACCCCCCAGTAAATAATATGAACTGGTAACAAGATCTGACTAAAATAAAACCATACCTATACATGAGCTTATATTCTGTATTCAAAGATCTTTAAAATATGAACATTGTTCAAACAAATAATCACTTTGAATTTGGCAATTGACATAATTGACATTATAGAGAGATAAACAAGAGGCATTATTCAAATATATTACAAGTACCATCCATACAGTTAAACCTAGCTTATGTTGTCCGCCATATACATATACATATTCAACAATAAGTATGATTAAAAGACAATTTATGACGACATATTTTACTGGCTTTCATAGACTCCATTTCCCTTTACTGGCTTTCATAGACTCAATGTCCCTTTAAATTGATTGGTAACATTTATCTTTAAAAATAGCCAAGGAATATAGCTTTGAAGTTGGTATGCACCACAACAATTTTTCAGAAAAAAAATAACCCAACTTTACTGAAACAAACAAGAATCCATAGCAACTAAGAACAGAAAATTCTAACAGTCTTTTTTGACTGTCATCTTAAATACAGTTACTTCTCTGTGGTCATATTAAACTTTTTATTAGTTCCATTTTTCTTCCATATCAAAGTGGGTTGTTTTCTGTTTTTTTCAAACTGCCATCAAGAACTCGGACTGTAGTCATTAAATAGACTAGTTTATCTATAATATATCTTAATTTAATGGAGATGGTCCTCCTATTTCTATATGTTAACAATCGATAGACAATGATCACAACTACTATATTAAACAGGCATTGTGTAAGAGCTAAATCTTATATAAATTATGTTATATAAATTATTAATTAGACATTTATTAACATAAGACCATAATCAACTTTCGATGCTATCAGATGGCCCCAATTTTAAGTAGATTAGAGTAGTTTGTTCATTTTATGATTTTATTTAAAGATAGGTTGCCAGGCAACAAAACATACGCCCACAGCAGCTAAATCGTCCGAGTGGTCGTCAAGGGTTGTCGCATATTTATTCCTTTGTAGGTAATTGGGGGCCTTTAAGACAGTTCCATACAGATCAGATTATAAATTTTGTCGTTTGAGGGTTTACAAGGTTCTACAAACTGAAACAAGGGTCTCAACTCTGGAAGTAATCTACAGAAATTGTTGAAATTTGACAGGCTTTTTCGTTTTACTAATTTAAATAATGCATATAAATTTCATACATATCACATTTGTCATTCAAACGTTCACAATCGCCATAACTCTAGAAATTATTGACGGAAATTGCTGAAATTCAATAGACCTGTTTCACAAATTTAAACGATGCATATAAATTTCATACACATCGGATGATAACTATCATCAATCGAGCATTAACAAGGTTTAACAAAGTGAAACAAGAGAAATAACTCTAGAAGTAATTATTGTAAATTGCTGAAATTCAATAGGCTTTTTCGTTTCACTAATTTAAATCATGCATATAAATTTCACAAAGATCGGGTGATAACTTTTTGCGTTAGAACGTTCACAAGGATCAATAAAGTGAAACAAGGGCCATAACTCTAGACGTAATAAACGGGAATTGCTGAAATTCAATAGGCTTCTTCGTTTCAGCAATCTAAATAATGCATATAAATTTCAGAAAGATCGGATGATAACTTTTGACGTGAGAGCGTTCACAAGGATCAATAAAGTGAAACAAGGGCCATAACTCTAGACGTAATAAACGGAAATTGCCGAAATTCAATAGACTTCTTTGTTTCAGTAACCTAAATAATGCATATTAATTTCAGAAAGATCGAATGATAACTTTTGACGTTAGAGCGTTCACAAGGATCGATAAAGTGAAACAAGGGCCATAACTCTAGACGTAATAAACAGGAATTGCTGAAATTCAATAGGCTTCTTCGTTTCAGCAATCGCCAATCTAAATAATGCATATAAATTTCAGAAAGATCGGATGATAACTTTTGACGTGAGAGCGTTCACAAGGATCAATAAAGTGAAACAAGGGCCATAACTCTAGACATAATAAACGGAAATTGCCGAAATTCAATAGGCTTCTTCGTTTCAGTAATTTAAATAATGCATATAAATTTCACAAAGATCGAATGATAACTTTTGGCGTTAGAGCGTTCACAAGGTTCAATAAAGTGAAACAAGGGCCATAACTCTAGACGTAATAAACAGAAATTGTTGACATTCAATAGGCTTCCTCGTTTCACTAATTTAAATAATGCATGTAAATTTCAGAAAGATCGGATGACAACTTTTGGTGTTAGAGTGTTCACAAGAAAATGTGGACGATGGACGGACGGATGGGGGCGACGGCAATATACGTCCACATTTCAATGTGGGCGTATAAAAATGGAAAACCGAGGCTTAGACTCGAATGATCAGTACGGTGGTAAGATCCATGCACACATTTTTTGTTGAAACTACAACTATTGATAACTTCACTCAAAATAAAGTATTTTCATATTGGGACATCTGATAATGGAACTAAAGCATTATTTACCTAAGGGGATGTACCTGTATGTATAGGTCTATAAAGATGCATTATGTAAGAGCTAAATCTGCCTATTTCAGGTCTTTTTTCTAGTTTCAAATGTTATACAAATCATTAATTAGATATTTATTCACATGACAAGCCCATATTCAACGCTCTAGACCATTGGATGGTTGTGATTTTGAATGGATTGAAATACAATCACCATTTAATAATTTCATTTAAAAATGGATAATTGAGACTTTGTTTATTAACGTAACAACTGTATCTTCAAACAGTCATAACATTGCTCAGAATGAAGTAATTTGACTGAAATTTTCAATTTATTAACATTTTTTTATATTCTATTTTTAAACTATTATTATAGTGAGAACTATCAGGTCTTTATCTAGATTTTACATAATGCATCTTCAAGTTGTTCAAAATCCCTGCTGACATTATCTATTTTTGATTTGAGTATAGAAACAGACAGATCATCTCATTTAATGCTGCATTCAAATCATGTCATATTTATATGACCACATATTCCAACTTTTAAATTGGGTTTAATCACTATGTATTTTTATATATACACCCATGTCATATATGGAAGTATATTATTGCCACCATATCTGCCTATCTGTCCATCAGTCGGTCTGCAGTTTGTAATCAAAGTATATAGAACTTGATTTGAATTCAGCATTAATCTGATTAAATATAACTGGTTCTTCAAGTTAGAACATGATTTGAATGTGGCATTAATCTTATTAAATATAACTGGCTCTTGAAGTTATAAATATTCAACTGCAATCAACAGCATGCCTTTTTAGCCCTAGGAGAATTAGTGTCTGTTTCATATAAGTCCACAATGTCTTTCCTTACTGTACTCTTTTGTCCAGTCAATGGTAGACAATACTGAAACATATATTCAAAAACTTCTTGTACATTTGTGCCATTTTTACTTGAAGTTTCAAAGTAAGGATCGCCTTCAACTTTGCTTAGATCTAGTCCTTCATTGAGTTCCTGTGCTAGTTTTCTTCCTTCCTCTATAGTTATGTCCCTTTTACCATTTTCAAGAAGATCGATTTTAGTTCCAACGACGACTTTCAGACATTTCTCTGTGGATGACTCAACCAGTGGCAAAAAGCGAGCCCTGAAATCAAAATAAACATTTAAATGATGCTGCCTTTGAAAGATAAATCAAACACAATCGATATTAAGCTGTGGATAAAAGTCCAGAGACAAATTCGGCAAAACTGAGTAACAATATCAAGTGGAGTTGCAGTTGCCACATGAGAAAAAGTCCATAAAGAAAATTGATACCTGGTGTCCATGAAAGGGTAAGAATACACTGCCACATGTACAACACACACCACTGTGGTTGTGTTAGACAAATAGCAAAATGTTGACCATAACACTTTTGAAATGCAAAGAGAAAGAAAGAAATGGGGTTTAATGTCCACTCGACACAAATTAGGTCATTTTGAGACCAACATGGTTCAATATTTATTTCAATAATTTGCTTGCACGTAGGGGTCTTTAGCAGTGGGAGGGAACAAGAGGACCCAGAAAAAACCCACAAGGTTGAACAGGCGACCATACTCCTTGTCACGTACAACCAGGGAATAGAAACACCGCCAGTTGACTCAAATGACAGACCTTGTGATACAGCGCGCATGTGCTAACCATTCAGCCACACAACCCCACTACTAAGCAATGTTGATGTTATGTTAAACTAAATCTAAATACTCACTATTTCCTTGAGAAATGTGATACTGACTACACGACCAGAAATGGTTTATATCTTTTGAGTTAATACAAGGGATCTTTTGGACAATTTACAAATGATGATGGGACATCCACTGGCATTACCAGATGAAGATCACGACTTAAACCCTTTAATTACACTATTCCTGGCATGTTGGGGATTGAACGTTTACCATTTTGTACTTTTTTTTTCTCTCTGATTTTCAATTTACCAAAACAATCCTGTATATTATCTTCTTACCATAAAGATTCATACGATTGTGGATTAGTGACATCATAAGCTAAGATGACTGCACCAGCATTACGACAATAAAATTGTGATAATCCTGTATATCTTTCATCTCCAGCTGTGTCCTATCAAAATACAGAAGATAAATTAAAAGAGAGAGAGAGAAATGGGGTTTAAAGTCCACTCGGAATAAACTAGGTCATATCGGGACTAACACATGGTTCAATTTTATTTCAATAATTCGCTTGTGCGTAGGGATGTTTGTCAGTGGGAGGAAACCGGAGGACCCGGAGAAAACTCAAAAAAGATAGGCAACCCTACTCCTTATCACGTACAACCAGGAATCGAAACTATGCTAGTTGACTCAATGACAGACTTTATCATACAGCACGCACGTGCTGACCATTCGGCTATCCAACCCCCCCCCATAAATTAAAATATTCAATTTATAAGTTTGTTCAATTAAGAACAGTTTTTCCTGGTTGATTGATGGGTATGTAATGTGAAGGGCGGAGATATATGACCCTACCAGGAAACCTTATGTCACATTTTATAATTGTATTTATCTGTTTAAATTAACATTAACACATTTACTGTGAAATTTAAAATGATAAATTAATGAATAAATGGTAACCATGGAGATAATATCAAAATGCATCAAGTATAGTACGGTATGTCACTGTATTTATTCCTGTGGGCAACTGTAGTTTATTGTCAACTTAATTCAAATGGCTTTTAAGTTCAAATTGATCGAAATATTCTTTTTTTTTTTAAAAATAAAAGTATTTTTGATGTTCTTAAAACTATATACCCTATTCAACCTTTATGTTGTAGTGGTACTGACTTTAATATGTTGGGGCTATGAACAAAAACATGTATCTTACCCAAACAGCTACATTATATGGCCCCCATTGTTTTAAAAAGAATGCAGCTCCTATTGTCTGTAATAAAAAATATATATGTCTTAGGGAAAATATTATGTCAGTTTACATTAAAAGTGTCATCCCAAATACATTTTAGTGAATCAAGCAGGTACATTTGTATATTCTGTGTGGCATGCTTTTATAGAAACCTTTATCTCAATCTATAATGATCAGCAGAAAAAATTTCCCGTACTGCCAATATTACTACTATGGATGACTTTGGGCAATTAGCCCTCTACAGTATATTAACTTTTTTTCTTTTATAAATTAAATTTTTGAAGTTATTACGAAAAAAAGAAAAAAAATATCATTTGGATAAAAAATATTTCCTTTAGTGTCCATGTAAAAGGGTACATAAAATAGCTTGTATTACTATGCCTGATGTAAATGGAGATGTTGTCAATGCTACATGATGTGCCATTGCATGTAGATCTATACAGTGTTCATAGAAGGCTTTCAAATTACCGATGTGAAACAGTTTGATCCCAGCCCTTTACAACTATCAGAGCTCTGTGGCATCTTTCCATATATGCAGACTTTTAGATTCCACTAATTCCTAGTTATCCCAATGTGCTTGGATAGCCATGTGATGATGTCTATGTATATGTTCATGCCTAAGTCATAGTGTAAAGTGACCGCCTGCATTTTCAAGCCACTCCTACAAATGTCAATGAACCATGCAATTCTTTGATACAGATATGTAATTTTACAATTTCATTTCTAAATATTTAATTCTTTGCAAATCAACATTGTAATTTCATTTCTAAACATTTCATTCTTTGCAAATAAGCATTTATAATTTTGTTTCTAAACATTTAATTCATTAACAAAACTCATGTGAAATTTTTGTAAAACATATTTTTCTTAAATATTTAATTTATTTTAAACCATTTCAATTGTGTCTAAAACTAAATAGCTATAATTTATTTTTGTTTACTTTCACAAAATTAGACATATTAAAGTTAACTCAGGAAACATAAGACCAGGAAGTTGAGCTATTCATATAATCGGGACAACAATAACATAGTATTATCTTATACACGTACCAGTACAACAATACATTTATAAATATCTTATTTTTTACATCTTACAATATCAATATAAGAATAACATATCAATTTATCTTCAAGGAAATGAAATGGGGTTTAACACCCTGCTTTTCTGCATCAATCGGGCTAATGAAGATGGGCATAATCCATGCAATGTTCAATTTGAGAAATTTTAACCATGCAGGGGTTTCTGCCTATAATATTGTTCTTCAAACTCCAACTGTCAAAGGAACTTTTCCATCCCTTCCGAATGACTAGATGTATCCATTTTGTTTGTGTTCCATTTATAGCACACTGTCTGAACAAGCCCTTTGACATTTCAAGGCACAAATACAGGTTTTGTCTGCCACAAGGTATGTTATAAACATACATTTCAAATTTCATCTAAACTGGATAAAAATTGTGACCTCTAAAAACGTGATTTTTTGTATAATCAGAGGCCATAATCCATGAAGTTTCGATCCGATACATGCCAGTATCGAAAGGAACTGAGATCTTTTGGAGATAAACCTATATTTCAAGTTTCGTCAAAATCGGATAAGAATTGTGACCTGTAGAGTGTCCACAAACAAATTGTGGAAGGACAGACGGACAGGGGCAACGTCAATATACGTCCACATGAGAATGTGGGTAGATAACAAAGACAAATTATACTGATGTTAACTGATAACGCTGTATACAATGTGTCCTTTTTAACTTTTGGCTAATATTTACCACTGAAACCATCTATTAATATTTACCGTGTCATGTTTTTTAAAGACATCTTCAATATATCTACAAACTAGAGATGATTTACCAACAGCAAAATCACCCATAATAATAACCTTTAAATCACTGAAAATAGATATTATACAAAATACAGAAATTTTACAAATCTAAAGATTAAACCCATTTTAGCATCACAGCTACACTCAAAGTAAGTACACAAAAATTAATACAACATACATAAATTTTACAAATCTAAAAATTACAAATAATTTGGCATCCTAGATACACTGAAAACAAGTATCATATATACAGGAATTTTACAAATCCAAAAATTACATAAATTTTAGCCTCATAACTGCACATTATGATTATAGCTCTTTTTGATTTAAAAATTCAAACTGTTTTAGCATCATATTATAGCTGCTCTTTGTGATTTCAAAGAATGTTGTTCATCCCACCATGGTGTGTTTACTATTTCGGGAATATCGGATAATCAACCAACTTAGCAATTGGCTTCACAATGTTAGCCTAAATGATTCTTGTTTTATGCTCACAAGTCATAGTTTTAAGCACGGTCAATGAATTGCTAGTGACCTTTGGTCCCAAGGTTATTTTCTCCCCAGTAGGCTTTGGCTTCTAAATTCTATATCCTAACCATTGCTTCAGTTATCCATAAATACTATCATGCGAAATGCATGCGGCAGGGTAAGCTTACCTTTTCTTCGAAGGCCTGACACATGGCTGTTGAACCAATTTTTGTTAGCAAAATATGAAAATCATTATTACTTTATTTGTCTAAGAAACACAAAGATGGCAGAATTAAGTCAACAGAAACCAATGTAAACTTTAAATGGAATTACATTTGAATTGATCGATTTGAAAAGTACTTTTGCTTGTGTATTTAACCTCTATGTTTAATCTACATTGTGATATGTTAGGACTTTAATTACAAGATGACTAGAATTTAACTTCGTAACTGCACCTCTACTAAGCTTTATTATCATTATTTTACCTTCTAAAACTATATTTTTTCTTCCTGGGATATTTGAAGCTTGACATATTGATTACAACAGTGATTTTAATAGGCTAATAATGAGTGTGAATTATACACCATGTCAAATTTGAACCTTCATGTAATTAACCATGACTGCATAATACTGTATTGGTGAAGAAGACAACCGGTTAGAAATTTGATTTGATAAGATTAAAGTAGCTAAGTCTCTAACTCAATATCATCCAAAGTCTTACACGATGAAAACACAAATTATTTGTCAATTCAAATCAACACTGATGTTGTGATCTTACAGGAAAAGGTAGGCTTCTGATATCCAATATTTAAGACAAAATAAACATTTTACCATTGGTACATGAATCGTGTACGGTACCATAATGCGTTTAAGCGCCATTTGTAACAAGGGACTCGATGAACGCAGCTAGACATATTCCACAAGTATTATCAAACGGTGGCGCCATTCTTATCTGGAGAGCATTGGCAATAAAAACTATCAGTGTTGACTAGAATAACCAGCTAGACGGTTGAGATTGCCATTCGATTGAGACTTCTGGCGTATTTCGCCGAATATAACTGGTTTGAAGTTAGAGTAAAAACGGAAACGATTGTATGTAAAGTTTAATATATATATATATGCATTCATATTACATAATTATATGCGTTGCAACCCATTTGTGTCAATTTCTAGGTCACAAATATTTGTGATTTAGCTCCTTTAATAGTTAATTTCATATAAAATATAATTCAAAGATAGTTTTTATTTGGAAGGATAGAAAATTAGCCCAACGTCTTGTCTATAGCAATCTGACTTTTTTATTATGTATTCAGAAATAAAATTTCAAAATATGATATAGGCCCACACTGTTACCCTAGTCATTATAAAGTCCAGAAACTGTTTCAAATTTATATTTATTATTTCAATTTGGTAAATTTTTCTTACCAGTATCTAATTAAATAAATAATAATAGGCCTACTAATTTCATATAAAATATTTAAGTTTGAGATTCAAATCAAACAACTGTCATGTAATATTTCAAGTTTATCTTATTACAATCACAAACTGAATATGATTATAAGTGAATGATAATGATTCATTCGTGTATGAAACTGATGAGTCTTCGGAGCTACTGTCACTACTGAACACTGAGACTTGTTTGAAAAGGTGGGTAATGGGAACTCCTGACTCAACAATCCTATCATTTCGTTAGAAAAAAATAAAGATACAAAATCTGTAAAGTTAATAGATACTTACGGTTTCCGTTTTCCGGACATCTTTGCTGTAATATTGAAGCTTGTGTTTCATTGACAGTCTATAAAATTAACACCAAACAATAAATGAACTTTCCATGGTGTGTTCTTCTAAAAATACCATTTTGTTGACATCAGTCCAACAGTTACGCCGCCTAGCGGAATAGGGGCCAGTTATTGACCACAGTTTTTGATGCTTAAAAATTAGTATGGACTGATGCTACAGTTATTTTTGAGTTAAATTGGATTGATCTATTGCTCGTTATAATCGATTTTAAGCAATCTTATAAATGTTAACATAAGAAATGTCAATTTTTTTACACATTGTAAAAATGTCGTCTGCTTGAACTGAAACCGGTTTGGGATCGAACGTGAAACGGTTGACGTATCACATGACTATTACATTCAAGATGGCGCCGCCCGCACCACCCACTTCTGTTGAGGAAATTGGAAGTGGTACTGGAGCCGAGGTTTGCATTTTATTTTATGATATTAGTGATATATCATTTCTTTTACTGATTATCTTCAAAAACACGTATAAATTATTATGTAATACATGAGGGATTTCTTGTATTTTCATCAAATATGAGCCTTGTATTCGTAAACATCTTGAAAAAACTAACTTTACTTTCATTTTCATCTCCCAGATCCATATTTCTTCATAATGATAATTTATTTTTTTTAAAAAAAACAACTTTTGTTTCTTAGGATTCCTGTTTTTGTATTGTTGTTTAGAAATAACTTTTCGCGGGAGGCTTAAACAGTTTCTTGACCTATTTGAATCAATAATCAATTTGTAGAGTGACATAAATATTTATGTAAGACTAAATCTGCCTATTTGCAGTTCTTTCTTTCGGCATCTAATGTTATATAAATTATTACTAAGACATTTATTAACATGACAAGCCTATAATAAACTCTCTAGATCATCGAATTTAAACATCTGCGAGATTTAAAAATTTAACGATAATTAAAGTGGACAATCAATCGTAAGTCTCGGTTGTCAAGTTTCATTGCTACTATAATGACCTATCTACACTATATCTTCAAACAGTTATAACTTCACGCAGAATAAAGTAATTTAAATGAATTTTTCATTACATTCACTTTTCATAATCTATTTTTGAACTATAGCATGAACGTCCAGCTACATGTTTTTATCTAAATCTTACATACCTAATGCATCTTTAACAGTCATAGTGTTGACACTAGCACCTTTAGTTAGTCAAGTTAGTGATTGTGAAGATTGGAAGATGAACCAACCACCATACCAATTTACCACCTGTCTTTCTATCTGTTGATAATTATAATTTTTGGGCAGATATCCGATGTCACAGGCCTCTTCTGGAAAGTAAATAGTCAAAGCATGTAATGAGAGATGATTCACGAAAGGAGTCCATGTCTGACTCTTCAGTGTCAGCAGTTTGAAAACTAAAAAAAGCAAGGTCTTATCATTCCAACTTTCCCTTGGCTGTCAGCCCCATATGATTAGCAACACCTAGGATAATCAAACATTTTGGACTAGATGTGTATAGGTCTACATGAAACTTATTGCTTCACCTTTTAATCCCCAACATACATGTACCTTGCTACTTATTAAAAAAACCATTTTAGTCCCAAAATTATTCAAATTGTTAATTTCTACCTCATATTTTGGCAATTTAAAGTTTACATCAATATGTTTTATCTTTATGCAATGTATATTACAGGGAGGTGGTAATGTTGCCAGTGGCCAAACCAATACCCAAAATGGCCCCCAGTTATGGGAGAGACCATGGTCTATTGATGAAATACGAAAGTCTGCTAGTAATTGGAAACTGGCTGGAGATGCTGGGGTAAGATTATTTCATGAAAGTGTCCATTAATCATGTTGGGAAATAAGTCACTTGTTAATGTAAATGTCAGACAAAAAACAAAAAAAAACTATTTTTCGGGCACATTTAGTCAGTCTTTTTTCCATGTTTTACTTTTATTCAAATATATGCCTGGACACAAAGTTAAAAATGTCTGGTATAACTTAGAAGCTCTAAGGTTTACATTTATCATTTTCTTTTCCAGTTATTACATCATCTTCAAGAATTTTCTCAGAAAATCTTATCACGAACTCATGAAATTGAAAAATCAGTGGAAGGGTTGATACATGAAGCAAAGGTATATAATATAACTTACATGTAGTTTATGAGAAATTTTCAGATGGGCCAATATGATGATACTGAATTTATTCTCTTTTGAAAGATGGGCCAATATGATGATACTGAATTTATTCTCTTTTGAAATCTTTCGCATGTAGGTAATTTCTCATTTTACCCAGCCCCACATTTTAAGATATGTAGCATGTTTTTTTTTTCCTCCAAGAAGAGTTTGGGGGGGGGGGGGGGAGGGATGGGCGGCTATTTCTCATTTATACCAGGCACCATATTTTAAGATACATGTATGTAGGGATTGTAGCATGTTTTTCCTCCAAGAAGAGTTGGGGAGTAGGTGGGCAGTTTATAGTATAAAGTCTGTCATTATTAAGTCAGGTGTCATATGGGATGATCAATTGTCAGTCCGGAATGTTCCGAATTGACAGAATTGCAATCGAGTGATGCAGAATTCAGTTCTGTCACAGTTATGTCAGTTCCGACAACGGAGGTGGTGTGAGTAGAATCGTGATGTAATTAAACACAATGAATATGTTTAGATATTTTCTTATGCAGTTGATGTATGCATTGTAGAAATCCCCATTTTCACTCGATTGTCATTATTTTTGGGACTGAGAGAATTCAATTCCGGAACGTTCAATCAAGTATCCCCTATGTGTAGTAATCACAACCGTAGCCAGCCAGGGGCAAAAATGATTTGCCCCCCCCCCTCCCATGCTAGTAATCCATCCTAATTTAGGACTCAGGGTTCGTCATCCAAACAGACACTGTAGAACTGTGAATTTTGATAAATTTCCAGGTTATTACCATACCATATAATGTTCCTTGTCCCTGTTATATATAATGTTACTCTTGACTATTATTTGTGTTATATATGATATTATTTGTGTTATATATGATATTATTTGTGTTATATATGATATTATTTGTGTTATATATGATATTATATGTGTTATATATTTTCAGTTAACCGATGTAAGAGTGAATAATGTGTTTAATGATTTTATGATGTTAGCTAATACACAGTTTGTAGAAAATGTAAGTTATTTCAACATTAATCCCACTTACATTCGTAATCCTATAAAAAACGTAATCTACAAACATATATAATCTACTGTGCAAAATATATAATCTACTGATATATATCTTTCAAGATACTACAAGGAAAGCTTTTTTAACTTTCTTCAAGGTTTAACATAATCAACATTATAAAATTGTACTCTTGCGAGATGAGGAACACTGGTATTAATGTGCACCATATGAGGATTCCATTTGTTAAGGTATCAACAACAGATACACTAGTTGATGCTCTGTAATAAATAATCTGCTTTATGTTACAGAGAGTGTATGATGAAGACATCAGTCAAGCAGAAAAAAAGGAAGATGACACAAAGAAAGATAAAGTTTGTATTGTTTTTGTGTTTCCATGTCGATTGTTTTTTATCACCCTTCAGTTGTAAATAATTGTCAAAAATTGTTACTTTTGGATTATGTTCGTAAAAGACATAAATGTTTTTAAACTTATTGTGTGTTTGTATGTTAGATCACAGTGTTAGTTACAACATTTTATTCTATGGGCATGTAATGGTTGTTTTGTTAGGATACTGAACTTAAAACCAAAATGTTCCCTGGATTTTATCCCAGTTTTCTCTTGTCAGGGGTGGGCGTCTGCAAGATGAACATAGAAAATGGGCCATTCTCATTGTTGATATTGAACAAAAAACCAAGACCCATGCATGTGCACATTGACAAGCATTTACAAGACAGTTGAAAAATCAATGAAGATTTAGAGCCGTCCTGGCAAAATTCTCCTACCTTGTATTACACCCGTAACCATAGAAATAAAAATTAGTCCAATTCTAAATTACCGTACTGGTATATTTCTATGCTAACAATTTTGATGTGAACTTTTATGTTTTAGGAGAAAACAAGGGAGGAGAGAGAAGCAGAACTTATTCCTAAAGTTACAATGGCGTTAAAGTTTGGTATAGATGTAATTGACCAGGCATTTGAAACGCTGGATTCTAATATCGCTAATTCAGACTCAGAGGAGGAGGATGATTCTAATTATAGAATTGATCCGATTTTAGAGGCAAAGGTAAATAGTTTAGTTATGGAGTCTGAACCTTGTTTTCGTACCACAAGTTCCTTGATACACAGCCAACATGTGGCTCAGTGAGTAAGGCATTGGTACTCCTTATTTCAGTCCTTAGTTAAGTCCCTGGGGAGTGATTTTCAAGATTGGTCTACCCTTGTCGGTAGGAAGGAAAACCAAGATCCCGTAAACACCTTGGCTTGCCCATAAAAGAACCCAGATGGAATTTGATGAAGAGTGGGCAGACACGCCACTATCAGAGAAAAAAGTTTCTTCATAACACACTGCATGGTAGAAACATCACTATCAGGGCAAAATGTTTCTTCAAAATACACTGCATGGCAGAAATGTCACTATCAGGGCAAAATGTTTCTTCCTAACACACTTCATGGTAGAAACGTCACTATCAGGACAAAATGTTTCTTCATAACATATTGCATGGCAGAAACATCACTATCGAGGCAAAATGTTCCTTCATAATACACTGCATGGTGTAACCGGTTTGATGAAGAAAAGTAAGACATTAAACCCCATTTCATTTCACTTTGCTCCGATCTACTACCAGACCATGACAGTATAATCAGTATATCAGCAATACTGTGCAACACTAAAAACACTTCAAGTTGCAAATAGTTTCACTCGATTGTATTTCCATCAGCTCGGATCATCCCTGCTGTTAATCAGCATAATCAGTATATCAATAATACTGTGCAACACTAAAAACACTTCAAGTTGCAAAAGTTTTACTCGATTGTATTTCCATCAACTCGGAACATTCCTGCTGTTAATCTTCAGCACAAAATTAATATTTTCTGGGTTTTTTTGCTGAAAAATATCTGGGAAGGTTTGTTTAATTGTTATATTCTATATTTTATTTTTTTAGGATCCGTATGTTACCCGACCTCTGCCATGTTTAATAGGTAGTGCTGATTTCTTACAAGATGACAATGTTGGTTTAACAGAAGACATTTCAGGTAAGCACAGTTATCTCCCCTGATATTTTTAAGATATAAATTACGTAGATGCTCGTTTGTCAGTCCAGAACGTCCCGAATTGACAGAATTGCAATCGGGTGACGCGGAATTCAGTACTGTCACAGTTCTGTCAGTCCCGACAGCTGAGGTGGGGTGAGTAGAATCGTGACATATTTTAAGTCACAAATGTGATTCAGCTGCCATGATTGGTTGAGATATTTTTTATCCAGTCGGCACATGCGTTTTACTCCGAAATTCTCCTTTTCACTCGATTGACACTATTTTCGCAATTGAGAGAATTTAATTCTGGAACGTTCAATCGAGTATCCCCATAAATTCAATGTTAGGCAGGGAGTGAATTCTCGATTATGCAGTCGGCACATGCGTTTTACTCCGAAATTCTCCTTTTCACTCGATTGACACTATTTTCGCAATTGAGAGAATTTAATTCTGGAACGTTCAATCGAGTATCCCCATAAATTCAATGTTAGGCAGGGAGTGAATTCTCGATTATGAGTCCAGAACACTGATGGAATTACAATAGATTGGTACAGAATTGATTCCTGTCACAGTTTTACCAGTCATGATAATGGATGTGATGTTGATATAACCGTTAGGTAATAAAACAGGGGGAAACCTGGTTCATCTACGATGAATGTTCAAGATAATGCTGTTTCATTTGCTGCATGCTTTCAATGGACTGGGAGAATTCAATTTAGGATTCAATCTATTCTATCATACGTGACAGAGTGCTTGTGAGATCTTTTGATTTGAGTGATTCGACTGTAGATTTAAGAGTCTGTAGTGATTTGTTCAAGATGTTCATACAAAATGCTTTAATTGATGTGCTTCTTTCTCTAATTATACTCTTTTAATGGTGCAAGGAAATATATGTTTTTAGTTTTACAAATTTAAAGACACTTTTATTTTCGGTGTCCATTGACATGTGCAATAAACCCTTTATAATAATGGTTATATGTTTCTACAATAGAAGAAGATGCCACAGATCATGGGAGTATTAGTGAAAGTGAGTCGGAGAAAGAAGATTTAGATCAAGATTCAGAGTCTGATGTAAGCTCACTCTATTTTATTTTCAATTATGTGGGTTTTCCCCTTAATTAATATTATGTTTCAGCTGAACTCCTAATTATATGTATATCCCTAATGAAATAAAACAATATTTTTGTGTCCCAAAAATAAATTTCAACGTAGAACTTCACATAGGAATATGTGAGAATTTCCTCAGCTTTAGAAATGCTAGATACATCACTGTGGATTGCAAAACATGTCCAATCTACCAGGAAAATATATCTGCCAATAACATATTGTTCAAGATGCTTGGCTTGAAACAAAACCTTTTTTTCTTTAACAATCTTTAATTTTAATGTAGATGGTTTATGCATTAAACTTGTAAGTTGATGCATGTATGGATGTAGTAACGTGCGACTAATATACCTGTAAAGATAACAATGCCAAACTCTGTGGTTGACATTCTGTAATAATTAAATAGATTTTTATGCAATTTGAGTCTATGATTAGATTTTTCCTGGGCATTAATGTAGATGGTTTATGCATTAAACTTGTAAGTTGATGCATGTATGGATGTAGTAACGTGCGACTAATATACCTGTAAAGATAACAATGCCAAACTCTGTGGTTGACATTCTGTAATAATTAAATAGATTTTTATGCAATTTGAGTCTATGATTAGATTTTTCCTGGGCATTACATGTTAGTCATGGTAACATACTGACCTCACACGATATTTTGCGTTAATTTATCCATATATGTTTTGATTTAGAGAGTTTACCAGCGCATGCAGTCAAAATTTATTATTTGATTAACTCATTTTTTATTTTGTTTCATTTTTTAAATCCATTAGAATTACCTCCATTGGCTTATGCTTTTTACAGCATTACTTCGGAGTCATGCTTCATCTCAGGCTTAAATGTATGAGTAATGTTTGGTTTTTTTTGCTTGCTCTAGTAATTTCATGAGTAATGTTTGGGGTTTTTTTGCTTGCTCTAGTAATTTTATTTTATTTTATAATTTTATTTCGCCTTATTTTAATTTGCATGTATAGTATTCTGATTCGGATGATGATGTACCAGTTAAAACAAAAGCTAGGACTCAAACCAAATCATCTGGTACCACCCAGGTATATTTATATATATTTTACCTTTTAACCCAATGTATTTCATATCCATTGTTTGGGTTGTATGTGTTTCAATTGTATGTGTAAAACTGCAAATTCTAGAGTTTCAGTTCAGAGATATTGATTTTGCGTCATACAAATATAATCTGGTTCTCTTTATGATAGTAAAAAGTGAATGTTTATTATAGAGTGATTGTGATTTTGTTTAATATAGAGTGATTGTGATTGTGTTTATTATAGAGTGATAGTGATTATGTTTATTATAAAGTGATAGTGGTTGTATTTATTATAGAGGGATTATGTTTATTATTGAGTGATAGTGGTTGTATTTATTATAGAGAGTGATAGCGATTATGTTTATCATAGAGTGTGATTATGTTTATTATAGAGTGATAGTGATTATGTTTTTTTAGAGAGTGATAGTGATTATGTTTATTATAAAGTGATAGTGGTTGTATTTATTATAGAGGGATTATGTTTATTATTGAGTGATAGTGGTTGTATTTATTATAGAGAGTGATAACGATTATGTTTATCATAGAGTGTGATTATGTTTATTATAGAGTGATAGTGATTATGTTTTATTAGAGAGTGATAGTGTTTATGTTTATTATAGAGAGTGATAGCGATTATGTTTATCATAGAGTGTGATTATGTTTATTATAGAGTGATAGTGATTATGTTTTATTAGAGAGTGATAGTGATTATGTTTATTATAGAGTGATAGTGGTTGTATTATAGAGAGTGATAGCGATTATGTTTATCAAAGAGTGTGATTATGTTTATTATAGAGTGATAGTGATTATGTTTTATTAGAGAGTGATAGTGATTATGTTTATTATAGAGTGATAGTGATCATGTTTCTTATAGAGTGATAGTGATCATGTTTATTATAGAGTGATAGTGATTATGTTTATTATAGAGTGATAGTGAAGAAGAAAGTGATGATGACATGTTTGGTAGTAAAAGTAAAAAGAAGAGAGAAACAGACAGTGATGGTAGCTATAGTGGTAGTGATGGTGGCTCAGAGGAAGAAGGGGAGAGCGAGGTAGCTGTGAAAGAGGTAATTTCGCTCGTTATAATATAGGGTGTTTTTAATAATTTTTCTTGTGGGCTTTGTAGTTATGAATTGCCTCATCAAGATATCTATATGGAACTTTGTATAAACATCAGCCTATTATATTAGTTATGCCTCTTGCTATTTAGACATTCCTCAGATTTCCACAAAAAATTGTATTTACATAAAAATATAATATGTTGATGACAGAGTCGTCTTTTTTTTGTATTTGTAGACAAGTAATGCTGTACCAGATTTTGCATCCGAACTAGCATCACGTCTGGGAGTACCTGCTGCCAAACCAGAACCAATACATGAAGATACTGAAGAACATCAAGGTATGTGTATTTTAAGATTTTATGCAGCACCGAATAAAGTTATACCATATGGAAGATTTATAATCAGATGGTATGAAAAATACCTTAAAATGCCTTAATAATATTCATTTTCGAAAGCCTGACTTTAAAAGTAGCTGTTCGAATGGGAAGATAACCCAGTGTCCACCTGTGTACTCATTGGCATGCACGTAAAAGAACCTTTGAGAGTTTGATTAACAGAGGAGGAAGCGATGCTATCCATGTAAATTTCGTTCATAGCACACACTGGTGTATGTCTGTCTTCATTAGCATGGGGAGCCACGGTGGTTAAGTCAGTAAAAAGCTGGCTCGCTAGCCTGGATGTCGCAAGTTTATTCCCGGTGTTGGCCAAGAAAGTTTATCAGGATTTTCCGGCGAGGTTTCTCCTTGTCAGTGGAGCCGGCTGGATGGCCGACAAGGACAGCTGTCTAGTTGTTGGCATGAGACATAAACCGAGGTCCCATGTACACATTGGCGTGTATGTAAAAGATCCCTTGGTAGTTGGAATTCGATATAGGAGTAGGCTGTAGCGCTGCTGTCCACTTAACATTTCCTTCATGGTGTATGCCCATCTTCATTAGCCCAGTTGGAGCAGAACAGAATGTGGGTGCTCGATGTCAGTCTGGAACGTTTCGAATTGACAGAATTGCAATCAAGTTATAAAGAATTCAGCCCTGTCACAGTTCTGCCAGTCCCGACAGCTGATGTGGTGTGAGTAGAATCGTGACATATTTTAAGTAACAAATATGTTTCAGCTGCCATGATTGGTTGAGCTATTTTTTGTGCAGTCGGCACATGTGTTGTACGTTGAAATTCTCTTTTTCACTCGATTGACACTATTTTTTGAATTGAGAGAATTTAATTCTGGAACATTCAATATAATGTTAAACCCCATTTCATTTCTATAAAATTGGTTATAACAGTTGAGTCCAACAAGTGTTCAGCCCCAGTGTAATTACATTATAACAATTTTTTCTTGTTTTTATGTTTAGGTGAGAAATCAGACAGCAAGAAAAGTAAAAAGAGTAGAAAAGATCGAAGTAAAAGTAAATTAAAGACAAATAAAGAAGAAGGTGAGTTTTCATAGGTCCATCTGACTACATTTATCATCCAGTCTTTTTAAAATTCATATATGTTGTTAACGCATGTGTTTTAAGTCATATGGTCTGATTCTCAGTTTGTACATGACAAGGAGTAGTGTTGCCTGTTCAACCTTGAGGGTGTTCTTCTGGTTCAACAGTTTCCCTCCCACTGCTTAAAGAGCCCTGCTCACAAGCAAATTAGTGAAATAAAAATGAAACCATATGTTAGTCTCAAAATAGCCCTTTTTTGTGTCTTGTGAACGTTAAACCCTATTTCTATCTCACATTATTTCAGAACCTGATTTGTTTGGAAGTAGTAAACAAGATGATGATGATGGTTTGTTCGCTAAGAAAGGGGGACTATTTTCTTCTGGTGGAGGGTTATTTGATGACGATGATGATGATGGAGTAAGTTTAAATTTCTGAGAATATTGGCCGTTATTTTCTGTCCTATATACAAGAATCATGGTTTCTTTGTTAAATATTTGTAGGATACTTCTGATTTGTTCTGTCTGTGTTTTATTGTGCAGTTCTCCTGATTAATCATTTTGAATTACATAAAAACCTTTCATTACCAACTTATTAATTGTGATGTAAAAGTCTAAAAGTTTAACTAATAAGGAATATTGTCTGTCATTTATGGCAAATAATTTGTTGTGCTCTAAAATTGGCACTATTCTGGTGATTGTTTGGTAGGGATTCCAGCCCCCCAAAAAGACCATTATGGATATTACTGGTACTTTTATTTGTCTGTGGGGGGTCACGTGGCTAAGTGGGTAAGACACTGGCTCGCTAGCCTGGAGGTCGGGTGTTCGATCCCTGCATTGGTCGAGAAAGTTCCTCCAGATTTTCCGTCGTGATTTCCCCTTGTCAGTGATGCAGGACGGAGGGCCTGACAAGGTCAGCTGTCTAGTCGTTCGGATGGGACGGAAAAACGAGGTCCCGTGTACATATTGGCGTGCACTTAAGAGATCCCTTGGCAGTTGGAATTCGATATAAGAGCAAGCCGTAGTGCTGCTGGCCGGGCAAAATTTCCCTCATAGCACATTGTATGGCGTATGCCCGTCTTCATTAGCCCAGTTTAGGAGCAGAACAGTAGGACGTTAAACCCCATTTCATTTCATTTCATTTATTTGTCTGTGCTTAAAGTGACATGGGGGGGGGGGGGGTGCTGGCGTGTACTTTAGATCATAAGGTCTGTCATTGAGTCAAGGGGTTTCAATTCCCAGCTTGTACACGAGGAGTAGGGTTCGCCTGTTCAACCTCGTGGGTTTTCTCTTCATCCTCCAGTTTCCACCCACTAAAATGAAATTGAACCAAACGATGGTCCCAAAATGACTGAGTTTGTGTCAGGGGAGCGGTAAACCTCTTTCTTTCTTTAACGAGTCTGTGGCTGTAAAAGAGTACATGTACATTGATATATCGTGGTGATCTTTTAGGGTGGTTTATTTGATGATGAAAAACCAAAGAAAAAAACAAAAGTAGAAAAAAAGATAATTGAAGAAGATGATGATGAGAAACCAGAAATAAAAGGTGAAAACAGATAGAAATTTTTATAAAAATATTTCTAGAATTAGGCCCAACCAATTTGATTTTCTGGGTTTTTTTGAGAACACCTGTTAAAATTTTGCTTCCTATTTCTGCAGGAAGAAGACAAATTTAAAAACTGAAAGTACTTGGTTATGCTTTTCACAAGCTTTTAATTCCAAATATTTAAGTTTTTGAATTTTATACTAAACATCTTTTTTGTTGTTCAAGTAACTATTTATTTATCAAAATCTTGAAGAACAGAAAATTAAATTGGTTTTTCCTTATCTGTAGAATTAAAGGAGTAGTCCAAGATTTCATAGAATACCTATTGTTAATTATGTATTGAGGTATACAGCTTCTATAATGCCAAGATGCTCTACATTATATTATATTAAGAAATTAAATGAAATGTGGTATAGCATTCTACTGTTGTGCTCCGACTGAGCAAATGAAGATGGCATATATTCTGAGCAGCTGATGTTTAGATGTCTGACATCTGTTGAGTTATGCAATAGATGTTTGTATGTTTATGAATAGATTTTAAAAGGCATGTTTTCATTGGCTATATACAGTACACAAGTAGAACAGGACACATTGTTAAAAACTGGACAGAACTCATAATGACATACATAACAAATTGAAAAACCTCTCATAGGAATTAATTAGATGATACACAAATTTTTTATACCATGAAAAAAGCTCTAAGTTTCATTTGTGCTATCTGCCCTGGAGAACTCAACCCCAAAGCATAAACAAATACAAAATGATTGGTGTGAAATACAAAATGATTGGTGTGAAATATCATTTATTAAATGACAACTGAAGTATGAGCTCTGACAGTAATTACGAATTTTTCCTTAATGATATGGGCTTATTAGACCTTTAAAGCAATTATCTGAAGAACCTCATGCTTCTGAAGATCAGTTAATTGTTGGGCTGAATTAAAATCCATCTATCCAGCCTATATAAAGTATTATGATAATATTGTATTACAGAAGAACCTGCTAGACCAAGGACTAAAAGTGGTAAAACCATACCAAAGGGTGCTGTTTCTATATTTGGAGGTTTGTAGTCTTACTAGTTCTCACATCAAATACCGATTTTATTATTTAAACAATTTATAAGTCAATTTTCAGTTCAGTGCTATTTGAATATTCATTTCATTTGAAATGATTATGTTCTTGATTTTGAATATTAAAGTAGCTAAGTCTCTAACTTAATATCATCCAAAGTCTTACATGTTGAAAATACGAATTATTTGTCAATTCAAATCAACATTGATGTTGTGATCTTACCAGGAAAAGGCAGGCTTCTGATATCCAATATTTAAGACAAAAAATAAACATTTTACCATTGGTACATGAATCGTGTACCATAGTGACCAGAAAGAACAAGGCTAGACATATTCAACTGGAGAGCAGCCTGCTCAATAGACTGGAATAACCAGATGCTAAAATTTCTATAGGGTTGAGACACATGCCTTATTTCGCTGGACATAACTGATTTGAAATTAAGTGTCAAAACGGAAACAATTGAATGTAAATCAGTTTATATACAATCATCTTACATTATTATATGCGTTGCGACCCATTTGGGTCAATTTCTAGGTCCCAAATATATTTCAATACAGATGAAATTGCATTAGTTTTAACCGACATCAAATTATCATGGATACTAAATAAGTTGAAAAACTATTAAAATACATTTTCCTCAAGCAATGGCCCAAGAAATCCCTCTGTGGCCATTGCTGGATTGACTTCTGATACTTGAGGGTTTTTGGAGGGAGTGTGTCTATTCTTCCCGTTCAATCAAATCTATCCTAAGTACAGCAACATGACAGACCTTCGTTTAATCTGGGGGCTTACCGAAAACTTTGGACAGTAATTTAAGGTAGCCTATTAAAACGTTGAAAGCGTTATTCGTCTCCACGCAGTATTGTTTACATTGTAGCCATTTGATAGCAATTAGTTTTTCTGCAATATTCTGCTATGCACTTGTTTACATTGTAGCCATTTGATAGCAATTAGTTTTTCTGCAATATTCTGCTATGCACTTGTTAATTGGATGTAATAAATCTTATGAGTCATGACGTAACGATATGTAAACATATATGGAGCTCTGGTTAAACCTGAATGATATTGTTACGCAGTTAGTGATTGGCTGTTAATCAGGCTATTGACCAGTCATAATTTGGAACAGAAATTTGCTTTCGTTAAAACAGTGTTCTAATCAAACAAAACACTGTGAGGAGTATGTTAAAATAAGGTCTACCATATTCCAAGGTACTGATTTATTCATTCATATTTTTACAGATTACATTTGTTTACTACAATTCAAAGTGAAAATAATATGCAATAAGTACATATATTTGAAAAAATTTGACTGAGTGAAAATGTCCCAATTTTCTCTTGTTTTATTCCTATAGTTGCTGATCTTTTTTGTTGAATTTTGATATTTAAGTCTTTTAAAAAATCAGTATGAATATTAGACTCAATGCGAGACTGACTTGATTTGCCACTTCCAGGAACAGTAGAAGCTCTTCCAGAAGACTCTTCCAGACATGTGAACAGCAGAAACATATACGTCAATGTTAACTACAGTTGCTATATTCCGCCATTATTTCTTCAGTCGCTTCTAGGTCCAGTCTGGAAGAGATGGAATGCCTTCTGAAGGTGGAAGTGTCCAAATCAAGTACGAGGTAGAGATCTGCCGGTAGAGGAAGGAGACAAATCACATAACATTTATGGTCATGCAACAAGGAAATCATCAGTTATAGTTACACCCCTTGCTCTCCTCTTCATTAACTTTTGATTAATTGAATTACTCTTGCTCCATTTCAGGAGGTGATGATGATCTGTTTGGAGCATCAGTTAAAATTACAGATGACCCCCCTCCTCAAATAACTAAACCAGTCAAAAAATCTGGCGGAGGCGGGCTATTTGACGATGACGACGATGAAGACCTCTTTTCCGCCATTTCATCTAAACCCACGTCTGCTAAAACAGGTATGATGTACTTCAGCATTTATCACTTTCATCAGTCATCTTTAGAGTATTTTATAAATAGATTATCAAATTACTTATATAATAAGTGTTAGAGAAAGACAGCCATGCATAACGATTAACTAAAAACCCAGAAGGCAAACATCCAGACAAAAAGAACCCACGCATATTATTAGCCATTAAATACAGATGTGACGGCATCCTTTGATATTGTCTTACCATTATTTGAAATAATGGTACAGGCAACGTGCCAACCATACATTATTTATACTAGATAAAATATTGAAATATATGTGCAAGATTGTGTCTGTATTTTAAGTTGTTTAATGGTCTCAAAATAGATATTGCATAATATATTGATACATTAAACATACATTATGCAAGAGCTAAATCTGCCAATTGCCGGTCTTTCTTTAGGCCTGAAATGTTATCTAAATTATTAATTAGACATTAATTAACTTATCCAGACCATAATCAACTCTCGATGTCATCGCTAGCCGCCAATATTTACTGGATTATAATCAGATCTGCTGCTCAATGCTAATTCATGATTAAATAAAAAAATGGATTATCGAGACTATGTTTTTTATCGTACCGACTTTAGTAATGATGATCGAGGCTAGGTCCAAAATTAAATCGCTAAATTTTCGGTTCAGAGTGGATCAATTTGACTGAAATTTTCAGCAAATTGCCTTTACCTTAATCTTTTTTTAACTATTATAGTGAGAACTGCCAGCTATTTTATCTAATCTCCCATAATGTATGTTTAATATCTCAGCTAGTAAATTACCCATAAAGCAGGTCAAAATGTGATAATATTTATCTATCTAAGTTAGACAAATATAGTAATAATTGTGCCATGAAAGTCTGGGAGAATTATGCATCATTCTTATGAAATAAAAAAAAATTTGTCCCTAAAAATATTGGTTGGTTGAACTAAAGTTCCAGAATATAATCTTGAATTTAAATCGCATGTAGAACTATTTCATCTTTTAATTAACAACATAGTTATATTTGTCATCTTCACAAATCCTTTTTTTCCACAGAAACTGTTGGTAAAATTGCCAGTAAACCCAAGTCATCATTGTTTCTGGATGATGATGATGATGAAGGAGATCTGTTCTCTAATGTGGCATCCCCACCTGCTCCTATACCAGTAGTTGATGAACCAAAAACAACCAATAAAAAGCCAGAGAAAAAGGTATGTTCATAAGAAATAATTTCCCTCTGCAAAATAGTCCTTCATTTTATAAGTCCTGGATCGATTTTGGTGCATTTTCAGATTTCTGGAAACTATCAGCTTTTCAAATTAGTACATTTTTCTATCTCTTTAAATTTGAACATTAGTTGATTTCTTTGATTTAATATTAGTAAATATTTCATAGGATACAAAAAAAACCCTATCAAATTCCATTAGTTGTAAATGACGTTGAATAGTGCAGACTAAAACTAAGAAAAAATATTCATTATTTGTGTAAGAGCAGTATTTACAATTGTTTTCATTTTTTTATCTATATAAAAGATACCAGCTGGTGGTGTATCTATGTTTGGGCCTGGACCAAATCCTCTTGCAGCAGCCTTAAAGAAAAGACTTGATCCAAAATCTGATGACGAGGTATAATATTGTTTCAAGTTAAATCTTAACTCCATTAATTACTTCCCTTGTTTTGGGCTTTGCATTTATACTATTTTGCTTTATTACTACAATTTGAATAGATCTATATCATAAAGTTGCTAAAATTTTGCAGCAATTTGATTTGTCACTTTTAAATCCAAATGAATCGAAGTTGGGAGATTATATATCTTAGATAACTTGGTTTCGATTTCTTCATTAAATGCTGGCGAAATATAGCCCGGATGGAGCTGACGTGCCATAAAACCACATTTCATTTCATTTCATTTCTTCATTAAATGTTAAATAATCAAATTTCATTATATTTTAGCAAGGATTAAGCTACGAAAAAATGAGATAATAAAGAGGTTCCACAACTTAACATTTACACTTAGCAGGTGGCGACACAAATTAGGTCTACAGGCCTACATCATGGATAGATTGTTGAAGATGAGATTACTAAAGCATGCATGTTTTGTCTCAGCCTCTTCTTAATTTGTCTACATGAAGGAGAAGTTCTTCTCTGTGGATTTAGTTCATGAAACCCACAATTCAAACAAAATTTACGGACACAGTTTTTATGACGTGCGCTTCACATCATACATCACAAAAACTGATGACATTTTACGGTCTGAATGTAAGTGTAAAGTTGCAAAACCTCTCTAATCTCTGCCAAATGCAAATGGCAGTCAGTGACTTAAAATTTTTACTGTATTAAAGGCCCTTAAATTATCCGAATTCTGTGTTTTAAGAAACTGTTTAATTTGCCATGAAGTTTATAGGGCAAGGCACTTGTATTTACACATTTATTATAAAAAAAACAGGGCTTGTTAATACAATAAAACCTGTTTTGCACATTCATCACTTCCAGCACTCCATCACATTATCAAGAATAATTATATTTATTAATTTTTATCCAGAATGATGATTGGTCGGAGGAAGAAAAGCCTCGCAGCAACAGCAACCAATCAAAAGGCTCATCTTCTGGAAGTCTGCCACCATCAAAAAGTGTTGATAGTTTAAGAAAAAGTGAGCGAAGTGGTTCTAAGTCTAGTAATACTGGTAGCCTATTTGATGATGACATAGATGATGAACTATTCTCTACAAAACCCAAGACAGATATGTAAGTTCATTTTTGGATGTCAGTTTATTTGCTTGGCATTGTCGATCTGTCACTCCCGATTTTGTTCCCGAACCATATCTCATAAACCAGTCAATATATCTTTATGAAACTTTAAGTACACACTTCAACCTTCTATAGTTATCTGGGGAGTGGATGGCCGAATCGTTATCATAAGGTCTGTCATTGAGTCAACTGGCGTGGTTTCGATTCCCCGAAAAGCATATATTAAATTATATTAAAAAAACATTCAAATTATTCAAATAATCAATTCAAACTTAAGCTAATAAGTTTACATTGGTTTCAATTGATTCTTATGCTTAACTACATTATAACAATTATGTTGTGTTCTGTAATACTGTAATAGTTACAATATACTCTTTTACAGAGTGTGGGGTGAGGGGTGGTAATGGTCTAATGCATGTACTTTAGATCATAAGGTCTTTCATTGAGTCAAGTGGCATGGTTTTGATTCCAGCTTGTACGTGACAAGAAAAAAGGTCATCTTCTCCATCCTTGTGGGTTTTCTCCTGGTACTCCGATTTCCACCCACTGATAAAAAAAAATTATTGATATAAATTTTAACATTTGTTAGTCCCGAAATGACCTAGTTTGTGTTGAGTGGATGTTAAACCTCAATTCACTCATTCTTCTTTGCCTTGTACCTTTATTTAGCCATATGCTTATTCTGTAATAGTTACAATGTACTCTTTGTACTTTGTAAAGCGTGACATATATGTATTCATAATGGCATGTTAAACATATTTTTGAATGTAATTATAGAATAGTCTTGATGTATCTAAGATATGTTATTTTTGGCAACAATTTTATTTGTCCTGGTATTTTGAATACCAATTCATGAATATCTTTAATAGTTTATTCATTCATATAAATTTAGAACAATGTTTTGGAGAATTTTATTTTGGGCCTATTTAAAGGAGGCATGTTGGTAACTCAATATCATCTACAGTCTTTGACATTGCAAAAACGATTTACTGGTCAATTTAAATCAACATTGGCGTTGTTATCTTACAGTGAAAAGATGGTCTTCTGATATCCAATATTTAACACAAAATGAAAATTTTAAAATTGGCACACAAATGCCTTTGAGCCCCAGTTGTATGAAGCGACTTGATGAACGAGGCTAAACATATCCCATGCAGGAGAATACTACTAGTGTAGACTGGAATAACCATCAGTTTGTGTACATTCATATTACATTTATATGCACTGTGACCCATTTGTGTCCATTTTACAGTAGGTGCCAAAGAATAGCAATTTAGCTCCTTTTAAGCTTATAAGTTATATATTTCATAAGAAATATATAATTTTTTCGTTGTCTTTTTCTGCAAATCTTATATCTCAGGATCACATATTATGATTATTCTGAAAAGAATGGGTGGTGGCTTAGACTCTTAGAGCTATTTTTTAAATGTTTTTCGAATTCAAAATCAACTCAAAGGTTTAATAACTTGTAGTTGTACCATGGACTTTATAATATAAGATCCTTCGTTGTACACATTGATGTTGGCAATTGGAATTCAGCGTAAATGTCACTATCCAGACAAAATTTCCCTTGTAGCAAACTGTATGATGTATGCCCATATTCATTTGCCAGTTTGATGCTGAAAAGTAGTACATTAAACCTTCATTTCATGGTTGGTGCGGATGATTAGAATGTTAAACCCTGTTTCATTGTGACTATTAATTGAATAGCTAGTCTGGCCACTTAAACTAGATATCAACAAGAGAACATATTGATACCAGATGTAGGTATTTATTGTATCTATAACATGTAGACTGTTATTACATAATCACTATAAGAATACACTCTTTACTATTATTACATTCTCTCTGCTTCTATTCACATTTTAAAGAGGCAAGGTGGGGTCTAGCTGGTGACCATGTTGTCTGTAGTTGTATGCAGGCATTTTAGATCATAAGGTCCGTCATGATTTTGGTCTCAAACTTGTATCACTTCTAATGGCCCCAGCATGCTATCGATAATATTGAAATAAAAATAGATACCTTATGTGTAAGTCCTGAAATATATATATACTACAGGTCACAATTTTTATCCGATTTTGACGAAACTTGAAATATAGGTCTATAGACACTATAGTTGACATGTTTCAGACCATAACATCATGGATTATCTGATTGTACGAAAATCACGTTTTAAGCTTGGCACAATTTCCGTCTGATTTTAGCTTGTGGTTGCTCTAAAAAACGTTTGAATATCACCATTACACCTTAATGATGGTTGAGTTCGAATTTTGTGAAAATCAGACCAAAACTGACGGACAAAATGGCCGCCCTTGTGCGCAAATTACTGTAAAAATATGGTATCACAATTTTGTTCTGATTTTGCTGAAACCTTATTTGAGTTTATAACCTAAAGATCTTGATTCCTTTCGATATTCGAGCATATCGGATTGTAACTTCCTGAATTATGGCCGTTGATTTTACAATTTTAAAATTGTGTTCTAGCTTGTGGTCGCTCTATAGGTCACAATTTTTGTCCTATTTAAAAAAAATGTTTAAATATATCACCATTGCTCCCTAATGATGGTTGAGTTTGAATTTTTAAACCATAACTTTCTGGATTATGGCCCCAGATTGTACGAAAAATCGCTTTTGTTTTTAGCTTGATTTCTATCCATCTCTTACAAAATGTGAATGTATCTAGCCTGGCAACTACGGGTCAAACGGCCCGTCAGTCTTCATCTGGAAATGGAGACTGGTATCCCAGGCTGTATTATACGGTGTCTGGATAAAACCAGACTTTTATTTTATAAAAATAAAGTGTAGGTGAAATTTACCTTTCGTTATCAAGTACAGCATGTGGGTCATGCACTGTAAAGACCTCTAAAGGAATGGCAGTAGATTATCAGGTCATCCAATTAAAAAATTTGACACAATATCTTAAAAGGGTTACGTGTCGGGATAAGCGGTTTTGACGTTCACATCCAAACAACTCAATATTTTGAGCTGAAATTTTTAGAGAAGGTAAATACGCTATTCCTCTATAGTTTGGCGCTTACATTTCATACGTTCTTAGACTTTTATTTCTGAGACTCCGTAAGAATTGGGATGGTCCCTTTAAACCCCATTTCTCTTTTATATAGTGTCAATTTGTTCTTGTTTGTACAAATCATGTCACATGATTAATCAGTCTGTTTGATGTAAAATATAACCAAGGAAAAAATATTAAGGTTATTTTCTATAATGAACTTGAGATTTTCTTAAAATTAATTATTAACTTTGTACCTGAATTTTAAAATATTTCATTTACTAATCAGTATTTGTACGAATTTGGACATACGCACAATTATGACCTTCATTTTGTAGCAAGAACTTTTAGGGAGGAGTAAATCCGGAAATTAAAAACAATATTTTTCACTGGGTTTTTGTTCAGTATTTGTTTAAAAATGATAAGCAACATATCTAAAACAGAATCTTGTTTAATTGTAACAACTTCTGGTTAGTTTAAATATTAACAGTGTTATGAATGAATTGATGTCTGCTTTGGCCTAAAGTAAATAAATTCTCTACAGAGGCAATCTATCTTAAATAACCCAGAAATAACCATGTATCAAATAACAGTAGCAACAATGATTTAACCTTAAGTGGCCTAAAATGAGCTTGCCAATTCCACAAGGTGCTTTGAGTAGCAGACAGAATCTTTCATCCTTAAGTATCTAAAAATAGTAACTCTGCAAGAAATGGCAGAACAAAATGGCAGCTTCTTGGATTAAGTCAAAGTTTGCTAAGAAAGAAAAAGTTCCACCTCCTGTTAAAAGGTAAAGTTTGAAGACATTTCTGTTCATATTGTGATTTGCTGAATGAATATTTGGAGAGAAAATGGATTAAATGGGCACTAAATTAGAACAGATAATTTGATCAAAATTGTTTATCAATATTTTGTCAAACTTTATTTTTCTTGGGTTTACTGGTAAATGGTTTAGAAAATGGCATTTGTTGATTTTCGTGTAAAGTAGTTCTCTATTTAATGATTTTTAGTAGACATATTTCTCGCATTCATAATGATTTTTACTGAATTTGATATGATTTATTTAAAAATATATCTTCATATTTAAACTACATATATATATCTTCATTTATATGGGATATTCACATACAAGGTTGCATTAATAATTACTTTTACTAAATTTGATGTAAGGTGGCATTGATTTGAATAATATTACCTTTCAGTAAAGAATCACACATGTCCTGATCAGTAATATTAATTATCAGTTTATTGCACAAATATCAATTAATTGTCAAGGCAGATATATCTAGAAAATATAGTAAAAATATATCAAATTAGGACTATATATAGTATTAAAAAAATTTATTGTCGAAACATACATGCTATTATATATTGAAAAAATATTTGAATAGATATACATGTATTATTGAACTCAGTACGTATATGATATGTGATAAAGAAAAAATACAGATTTCATGAACCATAATAATAGTAATAATAATAGTAATAATAATAGTAATAATAATAATGATTTAGTATGGAAGTTACAATAATAATAATAATAATAATAGTTTAATGAAAGTTACAACAAACATTTCATATTGTGATGCATAACAATATCTAACTAAATATCTTACAAGACGTGTGTGGTACATATTAATGTTGATGTAATCTATACGAGGACCGGTAACAGTTAAAACTCTTCAAATTACTTACTAATCTAGGGTATTAATTAGTTAATATAGTTTGAATGTTGCATTGTTTTGAGAAGAAAATCTCCCAAATGTAAAACTGAAATTTGTGTTATTTTCAAGAAATGGACAATGTTGTTGTATGTTAGTGGTAAATATAAATGAAGTATGGAAAGTCTATTTACTGGTAGGTTCAACTGAGTTTGTTTATATAATAAACACTGTAACTCGAGCAGACTATATTTTCATCTTTGGCTCATTGATAAAATGCTTTAATAATTACTCTAGGATTAAAGTACATGTAGCATGCTGTCTTTGTT